TCAGGCTAACCCGGAGGCCCCGCCCTTTCACCCGCCTACTGCTTGACCTCGTCTCACGGAGCAGGAAGTCACGTGTGACTCCGGAGCGCTGACTAGCCCCGCTGCTTCTTGGGAGTTGTAGTTTGGCCTCTATTCCGGTCCCAGCTTCTAAGCCAGACCCGCACACCCGGGTGTAAAAGTCAACAGCCAGACCCAGCCTGGGCGGGGCGAAGCCGGAGACTTTGGTTAACCCGACCAGTCCCGAGTCCGAGCTTCGTGTCGCTGTAGGCCCAACCCTACTGGGCGGGTCCCGCACTCCCTAGGCTGCGCCTTTGTCTGCCCCATGAGCCGGCCTGGCAGCTGCTCCCTGGAGCACGATCGGCGGCGCATTCGAGGTCTCGGCAGAGCTTGATGGGCAAAGTCTGTCCCCTGCTGGAAAGCCCTTCGTGAACTGGCCACACTCATGGACTAGTGACCTCTGCGTCCCAGGGCACATGAAAGCGGCAGGGATCGTGCTGTTAGTGGGGAATTGACACTGTGTTGTTAAAAGAACTGTTTTCACTTTTGGCTCCTCCCCAGCAAGCTAATCTTCCCCTGAGACAATCCAAGACGCCTCCTCCTGGGGCCTGGGATGGAGACAGAGCCCGGGGACGCTGAGCCTGGCTTGTTTACTTACAGCTGCACCGAGGCCCAGCATGGACGCAGAGCTGGGCGAGCGGAGGTGGCCAGCTCCACTGGCTCCAGGACCACAGGGCATAGCATCAGTCCTAGCCTGCGTTGCAGAGGAACCCCGTAGAGATTCAGAGATGAATTAGTGTCCTTTCAGGGGTGGGCGAGAGGCCAGCAAATCAATAATCACTGTCGAGATTAGGGCTGTGCCAAGAGCTCAGAGATTCATAATCCCGCTGGCTACAAATTCTCCACAGGTCTAAGTATGAATTGGAGAGAGGGACAAGAGGTGAGGAAGATGGTTCCAGGCAGAGAATAATTTCCAGTCTTAGAGACCAAAAGTAACTGCAGTGAGTCCTGACCAGAGTGGCTCAGTGGTAAAAGCATCAGTCTGAAGGGTCTTGGGTTCAACTCCCAGTCAATGGCACATACTTGGGTTGCAGGTTCAACCCTGGCCCAGGTTGGGGCATGCAGGAGGCAACCAATTGAAGTCTCTGTCTCTCCAACCTCCCTAGTCCCTATCACACACACACACACACACCACCACCACCACCACCACCACCATCACCACCACCACCACTTCCTTCCCACTCTCTTTAGAAACCAATGGGAAAAATATCCTTGGGTGAGAATTAATCAAAATATATATATAAGAAAAAAAACTGCAGTGAGAAGACAGTGTTGAGGTCACTACAGGATATCTGGACTTTATGCTGAGGGCAGTAGGGAGCCACAGAAGGGTTTAGAGCAGGGTACTTCCATGTTCAGAGTTCTGAATGAATCACTGGATTAAACTGAAAGTGGGGAAGGTTGGAGGCAGTAGAGAATACTAGTAAGTCAAGGAGAGGGAACAAATGGCATTAAGTGGGTGTAACATCCTCCCAATAAGCTATCCTGACTTCAAAGGATCTCCAACCTTGAGGAACCAAGTGTAAAACCTAAGAGGCCAAAAGCCACACTAACTTTTCAAAGCCTTCTGCCCCAGGCAGATGGATGGCTGGCCTGCCAATTGGTACCACATGTAATATGACCCTGGTATAGTGGAAGGCCCCAGAAGGTTGTCCACCTTACCTCCCTCTCCCCATAAAACAATGCAATTTCAGGCTGTGTCCCCTGCCCCCTCACACATACCTCCCAGGTTATCATCTGGATGGTGAAAATAGACCTTTCTCTAGCCTCTCTGTCCTCCAGACATGATTTTACCCTTCAGCTAGCCAGGCCAAGGGAAAGGCAAGAGGAAGACTGAGCCTGTGAGCCTCACTGACAGCAAGGGACCACAGAAGCTGTAGATGGCTTGAAAAATTCACCTATCCATCAAATGCTGGGTGATGCAGCTGTGTTCTCAGCCACTGCACTGGAGAAAACTTAGGAATCAGGTCTTGGGGAAGATTTCTTGTCTGGCGGAAACTGAGAACCCTGCCCTGCAGTGATGAGAGCGGGGGCAGGAGTAGGCAGAAACCTTCAGGAAGAATGTCTTTTGTAAGAAAGGCAGCAATGGCTGGAAGCTCTGCAGGCTGTGACAGGACCCCGCCACAACACACACACACCAATTCAAGAACTCTCTCCACCCCTTTTCCTCAGTGAGGGCCAGGACCTCCCGGATGAGCGCTTCCTCAGGCCAGCTCCAAAACTCCCTTACATGGCAGGAGGCCATCTGGCTCACCGCCAGCCTTCTGAGAGCCCTGTGAAACCAGGAAGCTCAGGGGACCAGGGCAGTAGACAGAACCCTCGTCTGGGCTAGTTGTGGGTCCCTTCATGCCTTCCCTCGCTCCCCTGTGAACGCCAGCCAGGCCGGAGATTTAGGTAAAGCATCTATTTCATCAGTTGCTGCAGGCCTGACTCTCAGTCCCCTTTGTTGAAGGCTCTGCTGTGGCCTCTGAGCCATGAGATGACAGCTCAGTCCAGTCTAGACCCCCTTGTTCCACATTAGAAGGAAGACTTAGAGGAAAGTCAGAGTTTAGAAAACTTTCTCCATCCCACACATCCCCTTGTTTGATACTTCTTTTTTTATTTTTTCTTGATTTCAGAGAGGAAGGGAGAGGGAGATGGAAACATCAATGATGAGAATCACTGATCAGCTGTGTCCTGCACACCCCCTACTGGGGATTGAGCCTGCAACCCAGACATGTGACCTTGACCAGAATCGAACTCGGGACCCTTTAGTCCACGGGCTGACGCTCTATCCACCGAGCCAATCCAGCTAGGGCTGATACTTCTGTGCCTGTTCGCCACCCCATGACAAGGCTGGCCATCAGGGACGTGAGGACTGCCCTTGAGCAGCTCCAGTCTACAACTGAAGAAAGTTAGTTGCTGAAGTCAGCACAGGGTGCTGAGAAGACAAGGTCAGCACTTTGACCTCAAATGCTAGGCTAAGGAGTTTGGACTTGATCCAGAGGGCAGTGGAGAGCCATGGAAGAGTTCTGAGCAAGAGGGACACCTGGAAGGAACTACTGATAAGTACAGGGCTGCAGGGGTAAGAAGTTCCCCACTCATGTGCACAAAGTCCCGTCTTCCTGCTGTGGTCTTCGGAAGACTTACTCATCCCTACGTCTCATGTTCTTAGCAAAATCATTTGTCCCCAAAATCTGATGAGCTAGGAGGAAGTCCTCAATCAAGACGGCTAGAATGGATGGATAAGTATTGTGGCCACTAGCCCACAGAGGGGTTTGGGTGACTAAGAGGCCTTAGTTTAAGGCGGGCATGGTGAGAACAGTGGCTGGAACTTTCAGACCTGACTGGGCCCTCCGCTCAGTCCGAGGTCTTAGGCATGTCACCAGGCGGGCCTCACTGAGGTACGCTAAAGAGAGACCATTTGTGGGCAAACATATTTAACCAAGATCTTTGTCAGACATCCTTAGACATGGAACATGTACTAGCCCCCTACCTACCTGCTCGCCTGGGAATGACCCTCTCCCCAGTACTTCTCCTGGGCCCTCAAAGTCCCCACATTCTTAGTAGCTAACCTCTACCCCTTCCTTTCCTTTTCTACAGCCCAAAAATAAATCTGACCCCATCAGAGAAAGGATTTCCCCAGAAAACCACAATGGTGGGCAGAGAGGCTGGATGACAAAGCCCAACCCTACTTGGGGAAGTGGATCTTCAGGGGTCCTCCCATCAGCTCCGACTGGCTCAGGATGCCTGGGGGTTGCGGGGAGGGCCATTGGGGCTTCATTGTCTGCCCTGTTCGTCAGGGTATAAGAAAAAGCGAATGGGGCATTTTTACGAAGACAGTTTTATGTAAGAAAAATCAGAAATTGTACCTAAAGCTTGATGGCTGAGACCAGACTAAGCCTCAGTCCCTCCCCTGGGTGGGGTCTCATTTCTGGGAGCGCTGGTTTGGGCAGTTAGTTAGGGAGGCTCATCATAGTGAACTCGCAGTGCCCTATCACAGGGTAGCCTATTTATCCTCCAGCCAGCCTCCAGCAGGCAGAGAGCAGCTGATTCCACTTGTAGAGGAGGGCCCTCAGCCCCAGTGAAGACTAGAAGCGACTTGCCCAACGTCAGAAAGCCAAGGACTCTGAGAGGCAGAGTGTGGTAGTGCGGATCCTTATCTATACACAGAACAGCACAGCGGGTGCAGGGAGAGGCAGCCCCAGGACTGAGAAAGAGGTTCACCCGCCCAACCCTTCACTCCTGCTGGAAGGGGTCAGGGGCTGCTGACTGGCACAGGGACCTGACCCTGGGGAGATGGGAGGGGCATTTCTTTGGCCCAAAGGGGAATCCCCCTTCCCACAGAGCTCGGAGAGGTGGGGGAGAAGCGGAGTGTTTACAGCTGAGGAAGCAGGAGTGGGACTGGGCAGGGACCTTTGGTCAGAAGGCCCCTCCCCGTAAGCGTGGGTGGCCTCACAGGGAGTTGAGTTGTGGTAGCCGTTTGTTTGCTTCGCACTGCCAGGAGGAAATTTAAGAGAATCTGCCACTTCCTTCCGGCCCAAACGGGATGGAGGGGGCGGAGGGCGGGGCAGTGGCGTGGGCGGGCAATCACAAGGGCCCAAAATTGTTGTCCTCAGCAGACTCCTCTGCCCAGAGCAGGCCCCTCACAGGTGTGAGCTCCAGGCGGCTGGGGCTCAGACCCAGCACTCCCAATCTGCCTGAGCAGGTCCAGGTAACCCTAACCGTTCCCCAGCTTCCACATCTTCTTTCTTCAGGAAAGCCAACCGATGGCCATGGCCTCAGGTTTACCACCAGGAGAATGGGCTTCTTGGGCCTTGCCTTCCTGGTTCAGTTCAAGTCCATTGAGCACTAAAGGTGATTTCCCTGCCCCCACCTCCACCCAGACTCATAGTTTTTAGGGCGCTCCAGCTCTTCACAGAGGGTGGAAGTAGAATAATCATGCCAGCTCATCCATTAGTCCATGTGTGAAGATGCCCAAGGCTGAAGCAGCCGGCCATGGGGAGGGGCAGAGGGTGTCTTTATTGCACTGTACCGATGTCAGGTTAGGGAGGTGCTACCTGGAAAAGCCCCCATTTTTTAAAGAAAATATTGAGATCACTGGGAACTTGGCCCTGCTTCTCAGATCTAGCAGGAGAGATGGGTACACTGGGCACACCTTGCCCATATTCCAGACTGATGGTCCAGGCTAACCTCTTAACATGTCAGGCAGGGGGGCAGCAAATTGTCCAATAGCATCTGGTTCATGCTCTGTACCCACAGTCGTCTTAGGGCCGGGCTCGTTGACCAGGGTCAAGACAGTGATCACCAGCCTTCCAGGGGGCTCTCGTCACCACTTCCCAAGGTTACAAAGGGCTTCTTGCACAGCTCCCCAGGCACTGCTGGCTCCTGAGCTCTGGGGCCCCCGGGGTCTTGGTCAGGTGCCTCCCTCTTACGCTTGTGCAAAGAGAGGCTCTCTTCACTCAGTCGACCCTCAGGGAGGCCCTGGCTCCGCAGACAGACGATGGCTGCAGCCTGCTCCGCCAGTTTCTTGGACTTGTCCCTGGGCAGATGAGGCATGGGGCGTTAAGGCAGGGAGGCAGGCACACCGGTGGCGGGACTAGAGGCTGGGAGGCCTTAATCTCAAAACCCTTGTCACAGATTCTGACCGAACTGAGGAAGGGGTCATAACCTAGGGATGCCACTATCCAGGTACACCATCCCCCCAAGCTTCCGGGCCAAGCCTCTAGACCACTGATGAGGAAACTCACCACAAGGTGGACTGATACTTGTGCTCAGCCACAGTGACAACAGAGCGGAAGAGGCGATCCAGGGGGCGCTGAACCTGGTGCAAAGAGAGCAAAGGAACAGGGATGCTGCAGAAGGGCAACAGGAACAGCCCTGGAGGCCCCCCTGCAGGGTCACATGGAAGGCAGAGAAAAGGAAGTCCTTCCCACCTCAATCAAACGAAAGCCACCTGTTCCACATGCCCTCTCCCCAGCGGAAGTGTGTGGCGCATCTTCCGGGGGGGAAAGGAGGGAAAAAGATGGATACACAGACAATGACATCACAGCACGTCTGCAGTTCTCTCATGGACCTAAGCTAAGGGCCATCAGGGCCCTTAGCTGTGCGTGACTATGGAGTCTCCTCCTACTGACATCTGGATGGGCCAGGTGTCCAAAATAAGTAGTTCACCAGATGGCAAAGGGGTAAGAGGGGACAAGGACTGGGGCAGAGATCAGGTGATGTGGCAGGAGAGCTAGGGGCGGGGGCGGGGGAAGGGAGAGTTCTCATGCTCTGAGCTACTGAGGAATTGAGCAAGGGAGTCAGAGCTCAGATTTGCTTTAGAAACGTTACTCTGGCAGAGGAGGACACACGGTCCAGAAGGGACAAGCTTGGAGGTCAGAAGGCCAGTCCAGAAGAGACAGAGCCACCTACACGAGATGGTTATAGGGGCCAAAGGAATTGAACCAATACTGTCTAAAAATTTTCACCAAAGGGCCCCGTGTCTAGGGCCCAGTTCTTGCCTCATTCGCTGAGGCCTGGTCCAAAAACGTGTCTAACTTCCAGGTTTGAGCATCCTTCCTAAGCCAACTGGCCATTTCCAGAGACATCTCCCCTCCCTAAGCAACACCACTGGGCTAGCCCGGGCAGCCTTTTATTTAGGTCTCTAGTTCAGTTTTGTGAGAGAAGCGAGAATTAGACAACACGCCCACTGTCAAAGGGAAGGCACTATCAGCAACGGACCCGACCGCCGGTAACCACCGTGTGCCTACAGAGGGCAAAGCCAGGCTCCAGCCAAGCAGCCTGGAGTCCGGGGCACAAGCTGTACGTCCATGGGGGTGGTAGCCCCAGCTGTGGGAATGCTGTAGGGCTAGACGCAGGGCAGGCCACAGCCAGGAACTCACCGTTTCATATACGGGCTGCGCCAACTTCTCCCTCCGGCACCATTCCAGTAGGCACATCTTGGGGGTGATCTGGGGTGAATATGCTCTCCTAAGGAAAAGAGGGAAAGTAGTCAGGGCCCACCCACTATCACCAACCCATTTCCCAGCAAGGGCCCTGGTAGGAGCTACGGGAACAGAGACATCGAGCTGCTGCCTTTAAGATTCCTGTATCACCTATCTTTGTGGCCTGGTAGTTGAGCATCAACCTATGAACCAGGAGGTCACAGCTGTATTTCCAGTCGGGACATGCCCAGGTTTCGGGCTCAATCCCCAGTGGGGGCTGTGCAGGAGGCAGCCGATCAATGATTCATCGTTGATGTTTCTCTCTCCCCCTCTCCTTTCTTCTCTGAAATCAATACAAATATATTTTTTAAAAATAAGACTCCTGTGCCTATTCCCCTGACCTCCCATTTCTGTCCCACCAGCAGCTTGTAGCCTGCATTCTGCCAAAAGGGAAGATGGGCTTCAGCGTGCTTAGGGAATTGAGGTGGGAAGTGAACTCCCGCACTCTGAGCTCCAGCTGGAAAATAGCCTTTGACGGCCAAGAAGGAAGGTTCTGGAGGGAGTGGGGAACACAGGTGGCCAGACAAAGGTCTCAGGAATCTAGCTTAGTACACCCTAATTATGTCTGCTGAGTGTCAACATGACCCACTGCTGCTTATCCCCAGGGGACTCTGGTTTCAGAATCAGTCTGCACCATGTTCCAACTTCCTACCAGGGGCTCTCCATGGATGTGACTGCCCAACAGCTGTCCCTACACCGCTCCTCCCACGCTTGTGCCAGACAAAACCAGCTCCTGGCCTGGGCCTGGAAACCTGAGAAAGGCTTAGCAACCAGATTGCAGAGGACAAGGATGAGGGACCCAATCAAAGCTGAGTCACAGTCTGAGGCAATGATTGGCCTGAAGCTCTATCTGCCTAGAGAGGACGCCCTAGGGCTGGTGAGGGGCAGTGGGTATGGGCAGGACTTGACAGATAAAGATCAGGGTCCCACGCTCTTGGAGAGCTCCTTGTAGGCAGCCAGTTCCTCGGGGCTAGGGGAAAAGACTTTCAGGAACAGAAGGAGAGAAGTCCTTGCACCCGAGAGGTGGGGAGTGGGTCAGGGCAAAGGTGGGTCCAGTGGCCCTTGGGACAACATGCATGACCTTGAAAGCACTGCCTGGGCTCTCAGGGACTATCTTCTCCAAAGTACCCTCGTTGGGTGGCTGAAAATTGAGAACAAGTATCCAAACCAAAGAGAGCGGTGGTCCCCAAACTTGTCGCTAACCATGTACAACAGCCAGCTTGCCAGCAAGGCACTGGCCCTGGCCCAAGCTTAGGCCAGCTGGACACCTACCGGTCAAACTTGACAGCCATCTTAATGACACCAGAGGTATCTTCAGCCGGCTCCTCCAGCTCTGCTGGGGTCCTGGCCAGGACCTCGGCCCGCCGGGAGTCCAGTTCTCGTGTGGTCTCCTCATAGAAGGCACCAAGACCAAAGGCCTCACTACAGAAAGACAAGTCAAGCAGGGTAAACCCTTTAGTAGAGCCAGCATCGAGGGAACTACTGCAGGAACCAGGGCCCCACCGCTGAGAATTGCCACTCCATATGCACCAAAACACATCCAGGACCTGGCCATCAGAAGGCACCTGCTACCCACCCCTGGGATCACTCTGGACTGGGGGATGGACAGTGAATGTGGGCCCCTGAGGGTGGCCACTGAGCTTTGGACCACTTTGTAGGCAGGGCTGGGTGGAACAGTTTCTTAAGGTCACCTCCATCATCTGAGCCCAGCCTCTCTTCCCAGGAAGAGCACACAGGCAGGTCTCCCAGCCAGCAGTGGCCAAGCTGACCTACACAGACCAAGCGCCAGCGGCATGCAGAGCCTCGTCCTCATGTGTGCCCAAGGAAGAAGAAACGGAGGCCTGACCACTGAGTGGTTCCCCATTTCCTGCCCCGGCCACAAGCAGTTAGGCCTCACCTAAACTGAGGAACCACCCAGAGCAGCAGTTATACTCTTGAAAAGTAGAGTCTTGAGCTCACGAGACACCTGGGTCGAGCTGGTGAAGTTAGGTGGCACAGGGACAGAACCAACACCACAGGCCCAGGATGAGGAGGGTTTCGGCAAGGCCTTTTCCTCTAGGGAGCACCTTAAGGACAGGTGGACGCCACAAAGATGGTCGTCTGGGGGTGAGAATGGTTCAGAAAGGCTTCTTTGGAGGAGGCAGGATACAGACAGCCAACATGAGGGGTAGAAGAGTCAGTTCGAGCAAAGGTGTGGAGGTGGGAAAAGAGGAAATAGGGAGCTGTGGGAACAGACACTAGGTCAGGTTCTGAGGACCCCAAATGTCAACCATCTGAGTAAAGGAGCGAGGGGCGGTCTCTCAAACTGCAGAGTGATGGAATGTGGGTGCAGGCTCAGGCCAGGGGTCCATTCTGCACCCCCAACTCTCCTGATAACTGGGACTTGGCGGCATTGCATGTGATTAAGGATCTGTTACCAGGAAAGCCCCTTCTTCCCCAGGAATTCCCAAGCCCAGCCTTTGCATTCCTCCATCCTGCTAGCGCCCCAGTATCCGAAACTTTGCTGCTGAGATCAGTCCAGGGACGTCGAGTTCCAAAGCTTTGACAGTGTCCCCTTCTGCGCGGCAAAGCTGTGGCACAACCCCACTCCTGCACATCTGCCTCCGAAAGCTGTGTCCCTGGGTCCCTGGGAGAGTCAGCTTAGGGCTCAGGGTCAAGCCTGGGCAATGCCTGCAAGGAAAGATGGACAGCCCCCTGCCCCTCTCACCAAATTTCCCGGGAAGACTGGGCGGCATGGAGCAACTTTCCCTGGGGTGACTCCAGCTGTTCTCGCAGCATCTGGCACAAGCAGTGCTTGGTGTTGGTGTAATGATTGTCATACTGCACGGCCTGGAAGAAGAACCAATATGAGCCCACCTGCTGCCCCCGAAGGCGGAAGAGTGCTTGCAGCCTAGGTAGTGGGACCTCCTTAGAGCCACCTGGCCATCTCATCTTCCAGGTAATGGTACAAAGCTCAAAGGTCACAGCCAAAGCCCCCAATCAGGAGCCCTCCCTACTGGACAGCCTGTCTGAAGTCCAGACGTGCAGGGATCCCCTCTGGTGTCAGCCACCAGAGTTAACCAGAGGACCTGCTGCCAGTCATCATGTAGGACAGGGCGGAAGAACAAGACAAATTCTGGTGTGGCAGGAAGAGCCCCAGGACAGGGTGGGATTCTTCTGTTCCTTATAACCATGGTAGACACCTTCCCTTCCCATAACTTTTTATTTTTATTTTATTTTACTTTTTTTACAGAGAGGAAGGGAGAGGGATAGAAAGCTAGAAACATCGATGAAAGAGAAACATCAACCAGCTGCCTCTTGCACACCCCTCACTGGGGATGTGCCCGCAGCAAATGTACATGCCCTTGACTGGAATCGAACCTGGGACCTTCCAGTCCGCAGACCAATGCTCTATCCACTGAGCCAAACCAATTTCGGCCCTTCCCATATCTTAAATGGCCTGTCTCCAAGTTCTTCTACATGAGTCAAGTATAGCACCATCTACTCAGCATGTTCACGTGTGTTACTTGTCACTTCACTGAGCTATACAAGCATGAGGAGCAGCTGAAGCATTACTTCACAGGCCAGAGAGCATGTGTGAAGGGTATCCCAGTCCTCCAGAGCCCCTCTAACTTCCTTTTCTAATCACACGAGGCCTCTATCTTCAGTCCCATCACTCGCTCAGGACAAAGCAGGGATATGTGGGTAAGCCCCAGCCGGCCTTGACTCAGCTTACTTGGGACAGAAGACATCTGGCTGGACCAGAACCAGCCCTGCCTATGCTTGAAAGCCGCTCCCTTTCTCCAGGAAAACTAACACTCTTTGTTTTGTTTTTTAACCTCACCCAAGAACATGCTTAGAGAAAGGAAGGGAGAGAAAGAGATTTTTTTTTAAATGATGTGAGAGAGAAACATCTATCAGTTGCCTTCCCTATGTGCCCTGACCGGGGATCGAACCGGCAATGTTTCACTGTAAAGGACGATGCTCCAACCAACTGAGCCACTCTGGCCATGCAGCACAACAAACACCTTGAAGATCTGCCACAGGTCAGGCTGAGCAGGAATGATAAAAGCAACTTTCACCCAGTGAGCAAGCTCAGCACAGCTGAACATGTCTTCCCTATTACAGACTTGCCAAAAGAGCTAGACACCTGACATGGGCTGAAGCGAGCCCCTGTGCCTCTGGTTGACCCAGGCCACTGGAGAGGGAGCAACGCAGTGGTGATCGTGAGAGGAAGGAAGAAGGCCCAATTTGGTCACCAACTGGCCTAACAGGACACCCAGAACCAAGGGAATGACAGCTGCAGCATCGAGCAAGGGAGGTTTGAGGACAGAGGCTGCCCAGCTCTGGGCAAGGGCCTCAGGGACTCCTATCATCCCCAGCCCTGGGGAGACCCCAAGCGATGTCAGCCACTGCTGCCAGGGCTTGACGAGGACATTGGCAGTCTGCGGGTCTGAGAAGCTCCTGACCTTTCCAGGAAGGTGTGAGCCCCAGGATGGAAGAGGAGGGTGGAAGTCTGCTCTGGGTGACAGCGCAGGCCCAACTCACGGAAGAATGTGAGGACCATTCACTACCCCCACCTGTAGACACGCACGGCTGACCACGGAGTCCCACAGAGTTCCAGAGGTGTGCCAAAGGGACAGGTAGGTGAACTTGTCAAAAAAAATTCCTTTACGGGGAAATGTCCCTGGCACCGCCATCAAGCTCCCAGTGAGAAGAAATAGCTGTTCCTTAAGGAGAGGGTTAACATCGGGTTATTCCCTAAGTTAGGAGTTAAAGCATTCTGAGAACTAGCAAGAGAAGAGTTTTGAGTGACTCTGACTGATGAAAGGTGACACATCTCTATGGAGATAATCAGACCTCAACAACAGCAGCTACTACCGCTCCTCCCTGCTGTGGCTACTCTGGCGCCAACCCATTGGCATGGGTATCTCCAGTGACACAGACCCCACTGTCATTGTGCAGGCAAGTGTATGTGCGGGGTTGAAAATGAGAAAAAGGTCCTGTTTGGGGCCCCAAAGGCATCCTGGATCCAGAGGCCCCTGCTGTGACTCCACACCTTGGCAGCTTTAGAAGGAGGTAGTTAGGGGTACGCCTCCTTGGCACTCCTTCTTCATATTGCAGCCTGGGGACCAGAGCTGCATGACCAGAGCCGAAAAGAAAAGGAGAGGGACAAGAGGGGCTGCTGGCAGGTGGCGGCTCAGGGCTGCCCCAGCGCGCTTTCTGCAGGAATGGGCAGACAGGGAGAAAGGTTTGTCTGAAAGAAGTGCAGAGACATACGTATCGGATGTACTTCTGCGTGACCTCCTCCAGGGGCCGCAGGCCCTCCCTGAGGAAGATGGACGGGTTCCACATGGCAGCTCGGGCCACCATCACTGAAGAGGCTGCTGTAGCCTGTCGGAAGTCCTCGATGTCCAAATAATTTTGGATGTGGTCGTGAGATCCTCCACTGAAAGGCAAAAGGGTTGAGGGGGTAAGAGGAGGCCCCATCTTTGTCCCAGCATTTTCAGAAAAAGGCAACTCCCAGGTCTGTCTCCCATTAACTGTGTGTGGCTCAGCTGTGAGCACCTGTGGAGTCTGGAGATTCACACACACACACACACTGTGGGGTCAGGAGCACTCACTGAGATAATACAGGAAAGCAGCCCAAACTATGCCTGGCACTTAACAGGTATCCCTGAGATTTTACCTTCCTTCTACTTCATCCTGAACAGTGGCTAAAGCCAGCCCACATCTGAAGACATGGGTCTATAAGTGGACACTGAGATTACAGGAACCCCCACCCCCCCAGGCTGGGGTACTATATGCCCACTAAGGGCTGGGTCAAAAGCCTAGAGAGGGAGCAATGCAGTGATGATCGTGAGAGGAAGGAAGGAGGCCCCGTTTGGTTGCAATTTCCCTTCCTGCCACCGTGCAGCCCCAAGGGCCCCATTGTAAACTGCTGTCTTCATCTGTTCCATTAGGAGCCAGGCGGCAGGCAGCCTCAGTCCAGAAACAGCGTTGTGTGTTTGTGGGGCGGGGGAAGGAGAGGTGGGAGAAGCAGCCGTAAGAGGGTTCAGTGTCTTAAGTAGTCCTACCTTTTCCAGATCACCCCCAAAACTCCTTGGCCTGGGAAAGGCTGGGCCTGACTACCAATCCCACCCTTAGCTCTCTCCCTCCATCCCAGCAGGCAGGCAGGCATGCCTTCTGTTGGGGCTTCAGGGCTTTGGAACTCCCCTGTTCCCATCCTGCCATCAGGTTCCGTGCCATCCTGAGGTGCAGGGCTACTCTGACTCCCCACTGGCCTCACAGGAGCAAATGGGCACTGTCTGACTACTAAGTCTCTGGGTCGGTCTAGGTTCCAGGTCCTGTGGCTGCCCAGATTGCTTGTTGGACTTTGGATTATGATTGGCCTTATGAACCTTGAACCACCCAGGGTGGGCAAGAGTAGGTTTATAGTTATTTGTATGGAAAAATAATACAATTAAGTAATAAATAGCCGAAACCAGTTTGGCTCAATGGATAGAGCGTCAGCTTGGGGACTGAAAGGTCCCGGGTTCGATTCCGGTCAAGGGCATGTACCTTGGTTGCGGGCATATCCCCAGTAGGGGGTGTGCAAGAGGCAGCTGATCGATGACTCTCTCTCATCGATGTTTCTAACTCTCTATCCCTCTCTCTTCCTCTCTGTGCAAAATTAATAAAATATATATTTTTTTAAAAAGTAATAAATAATACAAGAATAAACTCTTTGTTTCATGTACTCCTGACTGAAAACCTATTTTGCCCACCCCTAGATAGCTCTATGTGCTCTGACTTGGGCCTCCTCACCCTCCATCCTGCACACCTAACCCTGGTGTGACATCACCTTCCCCCGGGCTTGCTTCGGTGGCCACCTCCTTGCTCTCCCTGTCCTCAACCCATCCATCAGAATGCCCTGGCCCCTGCCTACTGCACACCTACATCAGCCACTCACCAGGAGCCAAGAAACAGGACAGGCACTTGTCTGCCTCATTACCAACTTCATTGCTCATACCACCCTTTCTCCCTTTCCCTTAAGGTAAGACTTTAACGCTATCTCCTTCCCTTTTTATATGCCCGATCAAATCCCCTCTTAGTGAAGTGCGGCATGAAAACGTCAACAATGAGAAAGGGAGGCTTACTTGGCTATGACAGGAATGGAGAGGGTTTCGGCAATGGCTTTGATGGTTTCACAGCTGACAGGGTGTTGAGGTCGCTCCTCCCGCTTCCTTGGAGATAAACAAAAATGATGGGCTGAGGGCTGAATGCCAAAGGTCATGTCACAGTTCACCCAGGGTTACATTAGTCAACACATTGTCCTCCCTACTGAACCTCAGAAAGGTCATGTGGCCATCACGGATAAGGTGTCCAGGCTGCGGTGGATGGCTCTCCATGACCTCTGCTGTGAGGGGCAGGAGCAGCACAGGTCTCTGCTGAGAAGGCAAGTTCAGCTCTCGGAGGCCTACAGGTGAGGCATAGCTGTAGGAAACTGATGCAGAAGGCTGATGTGGGTGGCCTGACTCCAAAGGTCACTCCGCCTTTCCCTGGCTTCCTCTCACCTTGACCAGCCATGAGGGACAGTGCCATAAGCATGCTAACCTCGGTGAACTGGTCCTGCCCTCCCTGAAGGACTAGGAGCAGCTGCTGCTGTTCGGACTGGCCACTCCCACACAGCTGCCTGTGCTGAAGCCGAGTTGCACAGCTGATCCTGGGGAGAGGCACCTGGCCCAGGGTAGACCCAGCAGCCAGGGCAGACCGTGGCTGTCACGAGACACAGGGAGGCAGCACCACAACCTAGGTCCCCTCCTCCTAAGGTCAACTGCCAGAAGTTCGTGTGGATGAGATGAGGCTTACAGATGCCGAGGTGAGCCCTGACCTAAGCTGTGCTCAGGAACAAGAAAGAGAGGTGGTTGACCAGACAGCTCTTACCCAGATCTTGTCTGAGTGTGTCCCCGCTGCTACACTCAACCAAAGGGTCAGGGGCCACAGGGCCTCAGAAAGCCCAGTTCAACCCAGCCTCTGCCTTCACCTTCCCACTCTCAGCAGCCAATGCTAGCCATCCTTAACAGCTTTGATGGCCAGAGTCCCTTCTTTTTTTCTCTCTCTTTTTTTTTTTTATAATTGTTTGACTCCACAAAAATCAGAAGGCACTAATGGACAGCCAACCCATCCCATGGTGCTCTGAGTGAAGACAAGTGAGCTTAGATATATGATAGACTAAAATCCCACTACTTAAGGCTGCAAGCAGTGAGAGGAACAGCCATCAGACAGAGTTCCTTCTTATAGGTGCTGAAATCTCTCTCCATAGTGTTTCCAACTACTGGTAGAAAGGAGCCTTATAAAGCAGAAATATCTTAATTTTCAAATGCAGAGTATGGTTAAATGATCTGAGAGATTAAATGATTTGTCTAAGGCTACACAGCCAACAAGCAGCAGAGCTGGGATACCCAGCCAACAAGCAGCAAACCACGCAGTCTGGCCCAGATGGAGTAGATGAATGGGTGAGTCACCCATGAACCAGGAGGTAATGGTTAGATTCCCAATCAGGGCACATGCCCAGGTTGGGGGTTCAATACCCAGCAGGAGGTGTGCAGGAGACAGCCAATCAATGATTCTCTGTCCTCGCTGTTGTTTCTATCCCTTTCTCCCTCCCGCTCCTTCCTCTCTCTAAAATCAATAACATTTTTTTTTTTTTTTAAAGAAAGAAAATTAAACCGAATCTTGCAGGTCACAGGTTTGCAGTCTGAGCCCAGAGCCTATTGCCTCAGGGTATATGAGAGGTATGGGATGGCCTTTCACCTCCCTCTACTGGCTTCTATCAATACAGCTCTGCTTTTCTATTTTATATGTTGGAGTTCTGGGTTCCATTTTCTGAAAATGCTAGAAGAGGCACAACCAGCAAAACATGGGCTGTTCCCTCAAGACCCCTGACCACAAAAGGACCATCACTCAGGGAAGAGAGGTCACTCTGGGATTCTACTGACCTGGGATTCTACCCAAAAGCACAGCTTGGATAGAGGAAACAAGTTTGGACTGGGAAACCCAGGGTAGCTTTCAGCAACACCTCAGCTCTCAGCAGACTGTGCATCAGCTACAGACACAAGGACTGTTTCAAGCAGTCACTGTGTCAGCTGGCAATCCAACGGGGACAGACAAAAGAGGCAGCGACAAGAACAGTGGTTGCTCAACATAATGGGAAGATGAGATTCAGAGTCAGAGTTCTAATTCCACAACTTCCTGGCTGCATGATGCAATTTTGGGCAAATCATTCCGTCTTTACCATTTACACGTCATGAGGGTAAGGGCACTTCCCCCTCCTCCTCCTCTCTCTGTCTCTAAAGCTCAGTGAAGTGCCTACCACTAGTGGATGCTCAATGAATGAAACAAAGGAAAATGAAAGCCCATACAGAGTTTGACCACCATCAGGATGTCAAAGAGCAAGGCAGAGGTAGGCTGCTTAGTAGAAGAGAACTTAGCTGTCACCTGGGGATCTGGTGAAGGACCATTAAGATGGCTGAGGACTTTCCTACAAGTCAGTCACTAGAAAAGCAACCACTCACCTCCCATGAACTGCGATGGCAGCAATGCCAGTCCTCTCTATCCGCTTCACAAGGTTCAGGGTATCTTCCAGCTGAGGGAGAGGGCCACACAGGAAGGTTACTGAAGCCACAGAGGGGGCAGCTGCCAGCTCCCTCCTCCAAACCTAATTCAGCTCCTCAAAAATGACTGACACCCCAAAGAAACATCACCCCCAAAAAAGAACATTCAGATGTAACACACCATCCTTACCGATGGTAGGATGCGAATCTTGCAGGTCACAGGTCTGCTTGTCCCTTTAACAAGAGTGCTGAGGATCTGCAGAGAAAACACAGAGCATCTGCCCCTTCTGGCACACATAACCACAATGTCTTATATTAATTACTTCTGCTACAGACCCGTGTATCCCAGTGGCATGGACATGGCTGTGTCCACATGGATGTCTGTTGCACACATACATGTAAGCTCCATGAAGGAAGGAGTCTACCTTCTTTCTATGCTAGCTCCTCGCCTGGCACATAGTGGTATGTATACTATTTGGTAAATGAATGAATGAATGAATGATGGACCTGCATGTATGCCTGTGTAGATTACAGTGATCCTTTGCCAGGGCAAACATATGAGAGCTTAAGATCCCACCTGGTATTTCCTGAATGAGTTTACAGGGGTAGGGCTGGGAATGTGTGTGTTTTTTTGTTTGTTTGTTTTTAAATATATTTTATTTATTCATTTTTTACAGAGGAAAGGAGAGGGATAGAGAGTTAGAAACATCGATGAGAGAGAATCATCGATCAGCTGCCTCTTTTACACCTCCCACTGGGGATGAGCCCACAACCCAGGTACATGCCTTTGACCGGAATCGAACCCAGGACCCCTCAATCCGCAGGCCAACGCTCTATCCACTGAGCCAAACCAGTTTCGGCGGGAATGTGTGTTTTTAAAGGCTCTACCCAACACACTCCTTCCTCAATATGATGCTGAGGCCTAGTCCTGGTTGAGAACACGTGGCTCACAGCTTCTTTCCTGCTTGAAGGGAATGCTCCCTTAGTGCTGTTCTGAAGAGGGAGGGAGCAGGAAGGCTTGGGCCCTGTCCTCACGTACCCCGCTCTTTAGGGGAATCAGGTATACAGGAATGAAACTGGCAAAGGAGAAGATAACACAGTCAATATATGTGTGTGTGTGTGTGTGTGTGTGTGTGTGTGTGTGTGTATTTTTTTTTTTTCAGAGAGGAAGGGAGAGGGAGAGAGGGAGAGAGAGAGAGAGAGAGAGAGAGAGAGATCAATGATGAGAGAGAATCATTGATCAGCTGCCTCCTACATGCCCCCACTACAGATCAAGCCCGCATGCAACCCAGGCATGTGCCCTTAGCCGTAATTAAACCCAGGACCCTTCAGTCCCCAGGCAGATGCTCTATCCACTGAGCCAAACCGGCCAGGGCAATAATCAACATAGGTTTTTTGCACAGTAATTGTAAAGAACTTGAAATAAAGATCAAGAAAATCATATAGGAAAGTGTCAGGGAGATAGCAAGACCAGACGTCATGCAAGTCAGAAATCAAGAGAGAGGGAGGTGACGCTGCATGTCTGTGGCATTGCTATCCTAGTCCCTCATCAGCAATGTCAGGTCGGGCAAGCTGGAGGGAAGGTGGCCCAAGAGCCCTCTTCAAGAACTGGGTTGCCTTCAAGCAGAGCAGAGGGGACATGCAGGCAGCTGCTGCCAGACTTGGTTCTAAACAGATGAGGGCAGCAGAGAGCCACGCTGCAGGAACCAGGGGAGGCCTTTTTCTGAGAGACGAGATGAGGCAGGACTCTCAGAAGACATCAGACTAAGAGGCTGGGCTGACAGGCAGGACCCATCATGGGTAAGACAAGGCCTGCTGGCCCAGGTAAGACTGACAGGGAACGACAGGAAAGAACAGGCCTCGTGTGCCGCCCCAGGAGGCAGACTGTGTCTGCGGTCCTGTTTTGCAGAGCTCCCTTTTGGTGTATTTTATCCAAGCGGCTCCAAGCACCTTCTTTAGTATTTATCTCATGTCCATGTTCGGGACCAGGAAAAGAAATTGGTAACCAAAAGCCCAAGCCACTTTCAAGGTTCGCTCTGAGAGGAAAGGGCAGCCATAGTCTGCCTTCTGGCCAGGCGCTAGCATGAAACTCTCCTCGACCTCGCTCTCCCAGACCCCAGGGCTGCCGGGCTCTGTGACGTGAACTTCTGTGGGGAAAAGAGCCTACGACAGACCCATATGTGAGCAGACTGCGGCACATCTACTCACAGGAAGGCTAGTCTTACCAGAGCCACAGGGAGACTCGGGAATAGCTCCCTTGATTGTTGGGAAGAATGGGAGAGCTTAGACTTGGGAATCAGTGAGAACTAAGTTCAAGTCCTGGCCCAGCTGTTAGCTATGGCCCAAGTGCGGTGTGCACAGAGGGGATGCCCTGGGCAGCAGGGTGACAGCTACCCTGTAACCCTGTAAAAGGAAGGGGGGCCAGGGAATCCTGAGCAGGGGTGAGAGAGAGGATATTATGGAATTAAGGTCTCAAACTGAGATTCTTAATCCAGGAAGGATACACCAGAGTTACCTGGGAAAGCTTTGTCGAAAGACTGATATCCTCTCGCTGCCCCTATCCACTCAGCTACATGTCCCTAGCCCTGGGCTTTTAAGGAACTCCAGGGCTGATGTATGCTGGCTCAGGAGTTCCTGAACTTGGCTGAATGTCAGCATCACCGGGAAGCCTTTTACACACTTTCCAGACCCCGGGTGGAGTGATGGATGCACTAAATCGGGGGGAAGGGAGGGGGAAGCGTTCCATGTTCAAGGACCTCTGCTTTCACTCATGCAGGACTTACCTTCTCGATCTTGTCAGGATCTGACAGCAGAGCAGCTCCCATTCCTCCCTAAGGAAAAGCACACAGAGGGGCTTCTTACACTCGGAGGAGAGCGGCCCCTCCCCGTGACACGGCAACGGGGCAGCACCCCAGCATTTGCCTCCAAGGGACCAAGCTCCATGGCGGCCAGTACTTTTCCTAAGCAAGTAGGAAGGCAGCAGCATCCATGCCCACAACACCAGGGACTAGAGTCTGATGAATTCTAATAGACATCACTTGGATCCCTTAGCAAAAGCCACAGACGTATCTGAAATGGGGCCACACAGGACTGTCTAGTGCCTACCCAGGGTCTCGCTGTCTTAAGAAACGAAACCCCGCCATCTGTCAAGCCCTTTAAAAAAAAAAAGGATCATTCTTGCTTTGAAATGAGAGTGAATGCCCCTTCTTCCCATCCTACCATCACTGCTTTGGTGCCACCTCTGCCGGCAAAGCCATTCAGAGACATGCAATCAGCACACCTTGTCCAGGCCCTCCTCCTCTGCCAGCAACAATGGCCAAGCACCCAGACCAATGTCAACCTCCAACAAAGCCCCAGCTAACAGACACCAACAAGCTACAGAGAGCCATAAAAATTCTGGCATTAACAACAGTGGGTGTCTCGTACTGCTGAGTACTGCTGATTTTCCTGCTCTTTTTTTTTTTGTGTGTGTGTGTGTGTGTGTGTACTTCTCTCTTATATTATCCAAGTTGTGGACAATTGCATGTCTTACTTTAATAATGAGGGCGGTGGGAGGGGGCATTAAAATCTGAACCCATTAAAAGTGAGGTGATAAAAAAATAAAAATAAATTTAAAAAAAGTGAGGTGATGCCGAAACTGGTTTGCTCAGTGGATATGCATCAGCCTGCGGACTGAAGGGTCCTGGGTTCAATTCCGGTCAGAGCCACGTACCTTGGTTGCGGGCACATCCCCAGTAGGGGGTGTGCAGGAGGCAGCTGATCGATGTCTCTCTCTCATCTATGTTTCTAACTCTCTATCCCTCTCTCTTCCTCTCTGTAAAAAATCAATAAAATATATATATATTTTTAAAGTGAGGTGAAGGGGAGGAAAACAAATTCAATAAATAGGCGCTGTCAGTATACAGACGACACACTAACAAATGCTCACAGTCTGTGCTCAGGTTTATATTCAGTGATTACATGTCTAAAAGGATGACAGACTGCACTAATTATCTGAGAGATGCAAATCAAAACAACAATGCGGTACCATCTCACACCTGTCAGAATGGCCAACATCAACAAATCAACAAACGACAAGTGTTGGCGAGGTTGCGGAGAAAAAGGAACCCTCGTGCACTGCTGGTGGGAATGCAGACTGGTGCAACCACTGTGAAGAACAGTGTGGAATTTCCTCAAAAAACTGAAAATGGAACTCCCATTTGATCCAGTAATCCCACTCCTAGGAATATATCCCAAGAAACTAGAAACACTAATCAGAAAGGATATATGCACCCCTATGTTCATAGCAGCACAATCTACAATAGCCAGAATTTGGGAACAGCCTAGGTGCCCGTCAGCAGATGATTGGATCCAAAAACTATGGTACATCTACACAATGGAATACTATGCTGCCATAAAAAAGAAGGAATTCTCATCATTTGCAGTAACCTGGATGGAATTGGAGAAAATCATGCTGAGTGAAATAAGCCAATCAATGAAAGAGAAACACCACATGACCTCACTCATTTGTGGATAATAAAGATCATTATAAACTGATGAACCAAAAGATAGATACAGAGACAGTAAAGCAACAAGCAGATTGTCAAATTTCAGTGGGGAGGTGAGGAGGATCTGGGGGAGATAATAGATCAACTGAAGGACTTGTATACATGCATATAAGTACAACCAATGGACATAAAGCTCTGGGGAGGGAGGGAATGGGTGGGAGGGAGGGAGGGGGTAAAATAAAATAAAATTAAAAAAAATAATAATAAATAAATAAATAAAAGGAAAAAATAATAATAATAAAAAAAAATAAAAAAAAATAAAAGGATGACAGACTGGAATCAGAGAGAACGCTGGCCCGCCTGAGCTTGCATGACAGAAAAGTGAGAAGGGCAGAAGGGAACTGGCCCTGGCCGACCTTGGCCACAGACAAAGAACGTAAAGGCTTTACGGAAGCCCTGGCCACACCCGGGCCCCATCTGGTCTTCAGCTCACACACAGTTCAGCCTTCCTTGTGGGATCACAGGCCCTCAAATGCAGCCTCACTGCCCCTTCCACAACAATGGCTTTCTCCATTGGCATTTCCTTCCTTCCTTCCTTTCTATTTAACCTATTGGCTTTTTTGAATAGGTAACACATTAAAATTTTTCAAGATTCAAAAGGGTAAAATGTAAGAACTCTCCCTCCTTTGAGGAATAGAAAACTTTTCAATTTATACTTTTGATATAGTTTCAACTTTTGAACCATCAGAAGAGAGCAAATAGCCGAGACCGGTTTGGCTCAATGGATAGAGCGTCGGCTTGGGGACTGAGGGGTCCCAGGTTCGGTTCCGGTCAGGGGCATGTGCCTTGGTTGCGGGCACGTCCCCAGTGGGGGGTGTGCAGGAGGCAGCTGGTCGATGACTCTCTCTCTCATTGATGTTTCTGGCTCTCTGTCTCTCTCCCTTCCTCTCTGTACAAAATCAATAAAATATATTTAAAAAAAAAAAAAAAAAAAAAAAGAAGAGAGCAAATATTCAGGGGGTATGTACTGGTATAGCATATTGCTAATTATCTGTGCTGACTGGTCAATGCCAATGCTGTGTTAATTGTTTATTATTTTGACTAGCACCCCGCAATGGGTTTTTTAAAAAAAATATGTTTTTACTGATTTCACAGACAGGAAGGGAGAGGGAGAGAGAAATATCAATGATGAGAGAGATCCTGTAACCCGGACATGTGCCATGACCAGGAATCAAACCATAACCTTCTGGTTCATGGGTCAACACTCAATCACTGAGCCACATCAGCCCGGCCAATGGGAATTTAATCCCTGTACAAAACCACATAAAAACTTAGTTTCCTTCCCTGGGAGAAACGAATGTTACTAGTTTCTTGTGTGTCTTTCCAAATATATTCTATGAAGAGAAAAGCAAATATATTTAAACTAGAGGCCCGGTGCACAAAATTCAAGACCAACGTCCTCCTGGCTGTCAGTCTTTCCTCCCTCTACCCCCACCATGCACTCTACTTCCGCACACCCAGTCCAATCATGTGCAGCCAGGTCCTGTCTAATTCTGCTCCAGTTGGGCATCGCTTCTCTGTATTCTTGGGCTCTCCTGTGGACCCACGTCATTCATCTCCTGTATCTCTGTCCCCACCTCTAGCCTTTTTCCACATCAATCCATAAAACACATGGCTCTCAATATTTCTACTCATACAATGTATTTGGAAAAACACAGCTAAGTTTCTGACCACAGACCTTTCTGCTCATGAAAGGCCAGAGATACTGAAAATCCAAGGCCAACTACTCTTGTCCCAACCAAAATATTTAATCCTGTGCTCCTTTCCCTCTTCATCTCCTACTCTCCAACTCTATGATCAAATCAAGGTTCTCTGCCTTCCTCATGTTGGCATCTAAGCCCCTGCAGTGCCCTTCCTTGTGCCTGTAGGGTCCCAAACCTCCTCACCACGTTTTCCTGTAAAATCTCACGTTTAAGCATTGCCCTCTGTTCCTTTCTGAGCTATACTAGCACTCTGGTCTGATCTTTTGATATAGCAATAGGGACACATATACTGCATCCTCTATTTAAAAAAAAAAAAAAAAAAAAAAGTATGTCTTGCCGAAACCGGTTTGGCTCAGTGGATAGAGCGTCAGCCTGCGGACTGAAAGGTCCTGGGTTCGAATCCCGTCAGGGGCATGTACCTTGGTTGCGGGCACATCTTCAGTAGGGGGTGTGCAAGAGGCAGCTGATTGATGATTCTCTCTCATCGATGTTTCTAACTCTCTCTCTCTCTCTTCCTCTCTGTGAAAAATCAATAAAATATATTTAAAAAAAAAAAAAAAAGAGGCAGCTGGTCAACGTTTCTAGCTCTCTATCTCTCTCCCTTCCTCTCTGTAAAAAATCAATAAAATATTAAAAAATAAATAAAAAAGAATGTAGTTCTTAAAAAAAAAAAAAAAAAGTATGTCTTGCCTGGTAGTGTGGCTCAGTAGTTTGAGCACCTACCCATGAACCAGGTCACACAGTTCAATTCCAGGTCAGGGCACAAGCCTGGGTTGTGGGCTTGATCCCCCACTAGGGGGGTGCAGGAGGAAGCTAATCAATGATTTTCTTTCATCATTAATGTTTCTATCCCTCTCTCCCTCTCCATTCCTCTCTCTGAAATCAATAAAAACATATTTTAAAAAGAAAGAAAGAATATATATATATATATATATATATATGTATGTATGTATGTATGTCTTGGTGTTATTCATGAAAAGACAAAGCCCCGTTCACATTATTTTTTCTTTTAACACATATCACTTAAAACAAATGGGCATAAGTACTCTGTTTGTACATATGTGTTTATGTGTGTATGTGTATGTATATATCTAGATGTATGTGTATATAACATTTTTCCGGAATCATTTGAGGGTAAGTACATATATCATAGCCCTTGTCCCCTAACTATTTTGCTGTGTATTTTATAATAGGAATATTCTTACAAAACTGAAGAGTTAACTATATAAATTTATAATTGCTGCTGTTGTTGTTGTTAACCCTCACCCAAGGATATTTTTCCATTGATTTAGTTATTTATTTTGTAAGGGAGAGTGGCAAGACAGAGAGGAACATCGATTTGAGAGAAACACATCGATTGGTTGCCTCCCCAACTCCTGCCCCCTGATCAGGGCCAGGGCCCGGGCCGAGGAATCTGCAACCAAGCTACGTGCCCTTGACCAGAATTGAACCCGGGACCCTTTGATCCACAGACTGATGCTCTATCCACTGAGCCAAACTGGTTAAGATTATATAAATTTATATTGATACAGTATTTTTAGCTAATCTACCATGGTTCATATTCCAATTTTGCCCATCGACCTAATAATAACCCCTTGAGCATTTTCCCATCTAGTACAGGATCTAGTTCAGAGTCAGGTACTGTACTTAGTTGTCATGTCTCATTAGCCCTCTTTAATCTGCACCCTATATTTGGGAAGAATATAAAGAACTCAGCTTACCTTGGTGGAATATTCTTTTGGACAGCCCATATTAATGTCGATACCAGCCACATCGTTTTCTCTGGAAAAACATGAAGTAGAAAAGGTAGTAAATATTCAACCTAAGGAAAGAAGGTAGTCAAAGGCATGGGTCTGTGCTCATGAATCCCTTACCATGTCCCTGGCCCTGGAACACACCAACCCTCAGTGTCAGAAGCTGAAAAATCTTATCTCTAAAATGTGCGACAGCCTCCCTGAAGCAGAGCTCAAAAGGCATGGCATAATGCAGTCACACTTGTACAAAGAGCTGGTTGTAGAGGACTCTGCTACTTCGGAGTTCTATCAGATAACAATACTGAGTGACCGTCGCACAGAGTCCCAGTTCTCACTGGGGTAATGAAAGCCATGTGTCCATGCACAAAAGTGACAGGAGTATGAGAGCCCTTGCCCAGAGCACTGATCCTGGTGGAAGTTACAGGACTGCCTTTGTTGGCTGGGTCACGCAATTGGCTCACTCCAAACAGTTCTCAGATGTAGAAAGGACCCTTACCTCATCTTCTGGTATGTACACAGTTAACAGGCTGGGATTCGGCAGCAATTATTGTGTGAGTTCCTTCTCACCCTCACTGTCATTAATAACAATAACTAATACTAGACACTCACAATGTGCTACGCACCGCAAAGCTTTGTGTGCATGATCTCATTTTCCCACTTTGAATGTCAGAGGTAGGTAATACTATTGGTCTCCTTTTGCAGATGAGGAAACTAAGTTCCCAGCAAGGTTACCTAAGGTCATGCAGTTAGCAAGTAGCAAAGCCAGAATTCCAAGTCAGGCCCATCTAACTCATTAGCTAAGAGTCTCCTGCCTTTGTTAATTTAGAAAGCAATAAGTCTAACCTACACTTCACGAGATTTAAAACCTCAGGGCTCATCGTCATAAGAGTCCTTGGAGAGGGAGCCTCGTGAACAAAAACTGAAGAACAGGTACCCACTCAGAGGTTATTTGGGATCTGGGCACAGTTGGTACACATAAATCCAGGAGCAGCCCTCAGATACCACAAACAGAGAAAGAATCTAGACAGGACACAGAAGGTAGTGAACTAGCAGGTAGAAGGGTAGTCACCTCCTACATCACCAGGAATAGTGAGGCCTCACAGGAGAGCAAAGATAGTTCCAAAGAGGGAAGAACTTACACAAGTCTGGCCACAGCAAGGGCTTGCTCTGCATCTGAAGTCCCCTGGGAACACAAATGGCTGTATCAACCACCACCATGACACGGGCACACAAGCACAGGCAAACACATCCATGCACACACATAGCAACAAGTACAGTCCAGCCAGTGTCTCTTAAACAACCAGTCCACTACACTAGCTCACTGTCAAAGGCCAAACGGGGACCTAGATGGCCTAGCAAATGTCATCAGTGCTTTGATTACTTTCAAATGTACAAAATAGTTGCAAAAAATATATATAGTGAACAATCATATACTCATCGCTTAGATTCTATAAATAATATTTTGTATATTTGCTTTTTCATATGTTTACTCATTGTTGTCAATTTTTTAAAAATGCAACTCAGGAGCTATTCTAAAAAAAATCACCAAGAAACGCAAAGTGAGAGAAGAGAGCTACAGAGTCATCACAACTAAACTACTCGTAAATCTAATTTCTTTCTATGGGAAATATATATAGACTACACAAAAACAAAACTAATGGTAGGGATTAAAAATATGTAAGTTATGCCAAACAAGTAATTCCTATAATTACGGACATTAAATTTTGAGACTGGAGACATAAAACAGACTGCTATAGCTTGATTTCCATAAACTACCTCCAACAGCGTATCATTCATGAGCAGATCTTTGAAAAATGTCTTCGGGAAGCCACCACTGTGCACTGAAGCCCAGGCATCTAACACTGGCCCGGCTCAGGGCATGAGATGGCAAATTTGGGAGAGAGGTGGGGTCTGGGCTCTCGTACCATCTGGAAGACGACCTTGCTCCGTTCTCTTTGGCAGGTGCGGAATACCACTCGGTCATCGGGGGCCACAAAGTCCACGGTGCTGAGCACTTCTGCAAGAAAACACAAACACACAGGCCCACCCACTGAGGCAGCAAGTTCAACCTCGCCTAATCTCTGCAAGAAAGCACAGCAAAAGTCTCAGCTTAAAGGGAAAAAGGGGAGCTAGAAGTACAACATTCTTAAAAGAAATCAGTATGCTCTTGGGAGGCTTCTGAGGGGCTAATGATGTTCTATTTTCTGACCTGGGTGATGGCTAGTTAGATGGTTGTTTGTTTTACAGTTATTTTTTTTAAAATATATTTTATTGATTTTACAGAGAGGAATTGAGAGGGACAGAGAGTTATAAACATCGATGAGAGAGAATCATTGATCAGCTGCCTCCTGCACACCCCCCACTGGGGATGTGCCTGCAACCAAGGTACATGCCCTTGCCCGGAATCGAACCTGGGACCTTTCAGTCTGCAGGCCAACACTCTATCCACTGAGCCAAACTGGTCCTGGCCGTTTTACAGTTATTTTTTAAATTGCATGCCTGTGTTTTCTGAACTTTCTCTGTCTGGTTGTTAACATTTTGCAATTTTAAAACACTGAAAAAATAATGTGGATATAGAGCACCTTGTCAGAGCTTCCGATTTTAACCCAAATTTCTCAGAAAATGTCACTCTGAAGTTCAGCAAAGTTGCTGTTTCTTAGTTCCTTATCAGGTGCCAGATACTGTGAGTGGAGATTTAGTGTATTATAGTCAATCCCTATTTTTTTTGCAGTTGTGTATTTGCAAATACACCTGTTCGCTAAGATTTACTTGTAATCCCAAAATCAATACTCATGGCTTTTTCGTTGTCGTTCTCAGACATTCATAGACCTACAGAAAATTTCAGTCACCCGATGTACATGGTCTCAGCTGAGGTCAAACAAGGCCACTCTGCCTTTTTTTTTTAACTGTTGTTGTTTGTTTTAAATATGTTTTTATTGACGTTAGAGAGAGTAAGAGAAAGGGATAGAGAGATGGAAACATCAATTGGCTGCCTCCTGCATGCTTCCGACTGGGGATCGAGCCCGCAACCCAGGCATGTGCCCTGACTGGGAATCAAACTGTTGACCTCTTGGTTCACGGGTTGACATTCAACCACTGAACCACCCCAGCTGGGCCACTATGCTTTCTTGTTTCAGCTCTATTATCTTAAACAAGTGTCTTTATGGTGGTATATTTAATGCCACATTTTTGCTGGCAATCTCATTGTTTTAAATGGCCCCAAGCATAGAGAAAGGCTGTGATGCGCCTTGCAGAGAAAACACATGTCAGAGAAGCTTTGTTCAAACACGGAATTATAGTGCTGTTGGCTGTGAGTTCATTGTTAATGGGTCAACAGAATATATTCAATTACGTGTTTTTAAACAGAAGCACACATACTAGAAAAACAAGATTATGTGCTGATCTGTTAATGAAAATGTGTCCCCAGAGGTCTGCAGGAACCTAAACCCATACAGATAAACCTCGGAGATATTAGAGGTTCATTTCCAGACCACCACGAAAAGTAAATATCTCAATAAGACAAGCCACAAATTTTTTGGTTTCCCAGTGCGTAAGAAAATTATGTTTAAAATATAGTCTATTGAGTATACAGTAGCATTATATCTAAAAAAAATGTAGATCCCACCCTGGCCAGTTTGGCTCGGTGGATAGAGCATCAGCCTGAGGACTAAAGGGTCCCGGGTTTGATTCCGATCAAGGACACATGCCTGGGTTGTAGGCTTGATCCCTGATGGGGGGAGTGCTGAAGGCAGCCAATCAATGATTCTCATTATTGATGTTTCTGTCACTCTCTCACTCTTCCTTCCTCTCTGAAATCAATAAAAATATATTTTAAAAATAAAATGTAGATACCTTAATTTTAAAATACTTTTAAAATATATTTTATTGAATTTTTACAGAGAGGAAGGGAGAAGGATAGAGAGCTAGAAACATAGATGAGAGAGAAACATCAATCAGCTGCCTCCTGCACACTCCCCACTGGGGATGTGTCCACAACCAAGATACATGCCCTTGACTGGAATCGAACCTGGGACCCTTCAGTCCGCAGGCCAACGCTCCATCCACTGAGCCAAACTGGTCTCGGCTTAATTTAAAAATATTTTGTTGCATTCTAACTGGTTTGGCTCAGTGAATAGAGGGTCAGCCTGAGCTGAAAAGTTCAATTCTGGTCAAGGGTACATGCCCGGGTTTCGGGCTTGATCCCCAATAGGGGGCGTGCAAGAGGTGGCCAATCAATGATTCTCTCTAATCATTCATGTTTCTCTCTCTTCCTCTCCCTTTCTCTCTGAGATCAATAAAAATATATTATAAATAAATAAATAAATAAATAAATAAATAAAATCAATAAATAACATTTAAAAAAATATATTTTGTTGCTAAGAAAACACTAACCATCATCAGAAGTTGTTGGAAAAATGGCACCAATAGACTTACTGAATGCAGGGTTGCCACAAACCTTCATTTGTAAAAAAACAGTGTCTGTAAAGTACAATAAAATGAGATATGCCTATATTTCCCCTAGGAGCAATCGTACGGTATTCACAAACTTGCTGATTACAGCAACTTCACAGAACATAACAAATGCAAATAATACTCTCATAAGATCTTCATAACAAAGCTCTCCAACAGGTGTTACCATAACTAGCTTTCTTTTTTTCTTTCTCGTAATTAGCTTTCAAAGATAACTAACAGCACATGGAAGAGATCCAATGTGGCAGATGGGAGAATATGCCTACCTCATGCATTTATTTTGAGAAATAAGTGAGATCTTTAATGCAAACAATACACTTCCATAAATAGAAGCTATTATTATCATCCCAGCACTGAACAGATTAGGAGATTAAAAAGGTGGGGTAAAGGCAGTGACTTGTTGGGAGAGGTAATCAATACAATCTCCAGCAGAAAAAGAAAAAAAGAAAAAAAAAAAATCTCCAGCAGCAGAGACAGCTCATCACTGACAGTAAGAAGTCTGAGAGAAGAACCGAAAAAACTTAGTGTGGGCCCTGAACGGGTGGCTCAGTTGGTTGGAGGGTCATCCCACACACCAAAAGGATCGCAGGTTCGATTCCCTGCCAGGGTACATACCTAAGTTGCAGGTTCGATCCCTGTTCAGGGTGCGTATGGGAGGCAACCAATCAATGTTTTCTCAAATAAGTGTTTCAAAAAAAATATCCTCCAGTGAAGATTAAAAAGATATTTTAACAACAACAACAACAAAAACTTAGTGTGTACTAGTATATACTAGAGTTCTATTTATTTATAACAGCAAAATACTGACATCCCTGCTAAAGCACTGTGAAAATCAATTCTGACATAGTCGTCTGTAAGTACTGACATGGGAAAATATCCTAGGAGAAAAGTAAGTGGCAAAACAAGTAGCATGATACCGAGGGAGCGAGAAAGGAGATATACAAACACGTTATATTTTCTTTTTTCTTTTTTTTTTAAATATATATTTTATTGATTTTTTACAGAGAGGAAGGGAGAGAGATAGAGAGCTAGAAACGTCGATGAAAGAGAAACATCATCGACCAGCTGCCTCCTGCACACCCCCCACTGGGGATGCGCCCGCAACCAATGTACATGCCCTTGACCGGAATCGAACCTGGGACCTTTCAGTCCACAGACCGACGCTCTACCACTGAGCTAAACCGGCTTCGGCCAAACATGTTATATTTTCATATTCATGTTTTACTAAATGTGTATTAAAAAGTATACATTTCTTCTCTTTGTGATCACCTTTACAAGTATGAGATTATGGAAGATTTTCATTTTCTAGATCTGTAACACTGAATTTTTCACAGCTCAAGGAAAATATAAATCTAAAACAATTAAAGACAAAATTGAGTCACAGCTTCTAGAGAACTTATTATATATTAAAATCTGACGAATGTGTATCCATTTCAAAAACCTCAAACAATACCACAACTCTAATCAAAGCAGAATTAGTCTCATCAATAAAATATAAGCAAAACCACAATTCAGCACAACCACTTTCATTTGCAAAGTACTTACATGTACCTCAGCTTATTTGATCCTCACACTCCAATCCCTTTTTAAGAAAAACAGGAATTATGATTTTCATTTTACAGCTAAAGACACTGAGGCAGGGAGGTCATGTGAGTAGGCTGAGGTCATGTGACTTGCCCAAGGTCACACAACTAGCAAGTAGCATGTCCATCTCAACTCCAAGACTTCTAGGGTCTTTCCTGTGCTGGCAATTTCAATGCCAACAAGCCTATGGGTGGAAGGCATTCTTATCTGGCTCTTCGCAGGGTCTCTGGAGAGCAGTGACTGCTCTCAAAGAAACACATGATCCACAAAATTTCACAGCCAGGCAAGAAGCCTAGAAGGACCCTGTCACCACAAACAAGGGGAGTAATAGCGTGGCTTGGTTCTGACAGGGCACACACACAATCCTGGGCCCAGAGCGGCACTCACCATTGACAACTCTCTTGCACTGGAGCATCTTGAGGTCGATTAGCTCCTATGGAGGAATCAGAGGGAACTTGTCAGTTTCCTCCAACAGGCCCCGGGCACTGGGGGAGGGCTTTCACTGACACACATCTTGGAGGTGACTTGGCCTGTCACTAGCAAATCATGGCTTTTGGGACATATGGTCTGACCTCCCACCCAAGCCAGGCAAGCAGGGGCCTGAATGAGCTTCCCTCCATCAGCTGCTCTTCCCAAGGACCTTGGAGATATTTGGGGCCTAGGAAAGGAGCCAGAGAGAATACAACAGCTCAGGAATGTGGACACCTGGGCCTCTTACGAACGCTGCCTTCTGGCCCAGCAAGTGTTGCTCAGTGGTTAAAGGTCGGTCTATGAACCCAGAGGTCTCAGTTTGATTCTGGGTCAGGGCACACACCCGGGTTTCAGGCTCCATGCCCAGTGGGGGGCATGCAGGAGGTAGCTGATCAACGATTCTCTCTGATCATTCATGTTTCTAGCTCTCTCTCCCTCTCCTTTCTTCTCTGAAATCAATAAAAATGTTTTTTTTTAAAAGAACATTGCCTTCTCCCTTGATCTTACTGATTAAAAGGTATAGGTCCAACAGGTAAGTGTCCCCTCACAGTCTGAGCCACTGAAGGCTCCCTGTTCTTATAAAAAGGAATAGAAACATGACATCTGAGGAACTACTGGAAAACTATCAATAGGGCAGACCTTGCTGGGGGATCAGATGACTGGTCCCTAGACTTTTGCTGAGCTGCTTCATCCTTTCTTCACCTCTTTCTGCTGAGGGCTTTTCAGGGCTTTCGAGGAGGTTCCTGCATGCCTGGAATTAGGTACACCCTAAGTCCCATACCCAGTCCTGTGAGGTGGATGGGGTGGTTTGACTATCTAATCACACAGATAGGCCACCTCATGTGAACCCAGTTAAAATCATCCAGGCAGCCCTAACTGGTTTGGCTCAGTGGATGGAGCATCGGCCTGCAGACTGAAAGGTCCCAGGTTCGATTCCGGTCAAGGGCATGTACCTTGATTGCAGGCACATTCACAGTAGGAGGAGTGCAGGAGGCAGCTGATCGATGTTTCTCTATCATCGATGTTTCTATCTCTCTATCCCTCTCCCTTCCTCTCTGTAAAAAATAAATAAATTAAATATATATTTTAAAAAAAAAAAAGATCATCCAGGCAGCTAATACAGTACAATAATCCTGGCCTGCAGAGCAGCTCTGAATCCACACCAGGGCACCAGGCATCACATTGTGTCATGCCCAGTACTTAGGGCCCAGCCGGTCGCACACAAAACAGGGATCTGTCTCCTGCCTCTGCTCTGCACAGAGGCTGGGGCTGGGTGGAGGGCTCAGGTCTCCTCCAGCAGAAGCCCCTTTGTTCATAAGCCACATTGTCTCTTCCAGAGCATGAGCACATCAAACACGCCAAAGAGGTCACCTATTTCCTGCGCAGCCCTGCTCCCACCGCCCAGCTTCCATGATTCATTTCACCGGGGCCATAAACACAGAGCCGCTCCTCTAGAACAGGCCCTGGCGACGCTGGCCTAGATCATTCTGATACGTACCCGGTTGAAAACCACTGCTCATACTTATTCATAATCCAGTATCCTGTCATTCTATTTTTCCTAGCAGATGCTTTCTAAACCTGGGTGTGAAGTCCTAATATTCTCTGGAGCTGTCAGCAATTAGCTGGTCCACTAGCTACCACCACCAGAAAATCCTACGGCTGCTCAAACCAGTCTCATCCAGCTTTCCTGGCCTGAATCTGGGCCACTTCCTCCTCTTCTTAACGAGGAATTCATTCATTCACGCACTGAATGTATAATAGATCCTACAGGGGCCCCGGCAGTGACCTGACATGATGCTCATCCATCCATCTGGCCCTCCATGCTACCCAGGCTGCTGGCCCTAAGCAGGGTTCGTAGAATTTATAAATATCGAGCGTCTTTGTCCTCTGTTGCCTTCACTGAGCACCTGTGAAGTCAATGCCCACTCTGCCAACCCCCTGCCCCCATCCTGACCACTCCCACCCATAGGTGGGGAGGAAAAGCTCTCTGGGAAAATCAGTGGTCCCTTACCTCACAGTACACAATGTCTGCTCCATAGTCCAGGGCCAGCAGCCGCATCGGTAGAGTCCCCACTCGAACCATAGGCGCCAAGATGAGTTTGTTGTGGTAGCACAGCGAGAGGCTGTTCACCATCATTCCTCTTCTGCTCCAGCCTGAAGGAAGGGAACACAAGGGTCAGAAACTCAAATGGAGTAAATCTCTTCTATTATCCCGGGCTGCCTTTCCTCTTCCTTCCAATCAACACGTGCCACCTTGTTTTCCTTCCCTCTGATCATAAAAGAACCCATGCTCATTCATTCATCCAATAGTTATCAAGTGCCTAGTCTGTGCCAGTCACTATCCTAGTCTTTGGAGATGCATTTGCAGTGTTTCCCAAAGTGTGGTCCGCATACCCCCAGGGGTACGGGAGGAGTTTGGTGGGGGTACGTGTTGCACCAGAGTTCGGTGGGGATATGCACTGCACCGTGCTTAGCTGCGCCTAATTCTACGTTCTCATGAGTACGAGAGGTACTCAGCGTAATGAAAATTATAGAAGGGGTACACATATGTCAAAAGTTTGGGAAACACTGCATTAGAGAATAAGACAGACAAAAATTCCTGCTCTGGTAAAGCTTTTAATTTAGTTAGGGAACACAGGCAAAAAAAAACAAGCCAAAAAAACAAGCATAACAAATAAGTAAATTAAAATATGATGGAAATTTGGTATAGTGGGCCCTCTGTGCCATGGGTTTCACATCCATGGATTCAACCAATCACAGATCGAAAACGAGCAGAAAAACCCTAGCCAGTGTGGTTCAGTTGGTTGGGCGTTGCCCTGATCACCAAAGGTTACAGGTTCAATTCAGGGTCAGAGCACATGCCCAGGTTATAGGCTTGATCCCCATGTAGGAGGCAACCAATCAATGATTCTCTCTCATCATTGATGTTTCTATCTCTCTCCCTCCCCCTTCTTCTCTGAAATAAAAAATATACATTTTTTAAATATATATACAAATTTAGAGTTAGAATTAAATATTTAGAGATTATCCTATTTCCCACTCAAAGCATATGTTAATGAGAAAAAACTAAAATGATCCTTCATATTTGTAAGAGAAAGAGGCGATATAGCATACAGTTAATATTCTGAACTCTGGAATCAGACAGACCTGCATGGGAATCTGCCCCCAGACATCGAGGCTAGCTTCTCCTCCGGAATATGAGGCTCCAACAGAATCTATGTTGGGGGGGGAGGGAGATGCTGTAAAGAGCACATTCTACCTGGCTGATCTGGCTCAGTGGTTAGAGCATTGGCCCATGGACCAAAGGGTCTGGGGTTTGATTTCCAGTCAAGAGCATGTACCTGGATTGCAGTCTCCATCCCCAGCCTGGGGTTGAGGTGTGTGTGGAAGGCAACCGATCAATGTGTCTCTCTCACATCGATGTGCCTGCTACAGATTGTAGGGGTGGTCCAGGGCCAGAACAAGAGTTTGCAATGGCTAATGAGCCTATCTGAAGTGAGAATACATGTGGTAAACCTCAGCCTCTCTCCAATCCTCATCCTCTAGGCAGGGTTTTTCAACAGCAAACTTGTCGTTTTAGGCCAGATAATCCTTTTTTATGGGGGCTGTCCTATGCATTGCACAATGTTTAGCAGCGTCCCTGGCCTCTACCCACTAGATAGATGCCAGGAGCACCTCCCCCAGTGTGACAACTAAAAATGTCTCCTGACAGTGTCAAAAAAGAGTAGGGGGGATGACAAAAGTAAAATTAGTGGAAGTAAAATGAATGACTGTTCACTGTCACTCCTCAAGGCTCTCTCCTCCACTAGTTTAACAGGTAACTCTCCAGAAACTCTACTCATGTACCAAAATGATCTTTTTAATGGTATTTTATGAAACTAAAACACTTTCTCCAGATGTTAAGAACCTTCCAGGTGGCCTGGTGGGCATGGCTCAGTGGTTGACGTTGGACCTATGAACCAGGAGATCAAGGTTCAATTTCCAGGCAGGGCACATGCTCACCTTGCAGGGCTTGATCCCCAGTGAGGGGTGTGCAGGAGGCAGTCGATCTATAATTCTCTCTCATCATTGATGTTTTTCTCTCTCTCTCCTTCTCCCTTCCTCGCTGAAATCAATAAAAATATTTTTTTTAAAAGAATCTCTCAGGTGATTAGTACACATTTACCTTATCTCCCACCCCAGGCACTGGGGACTACAGAACAGATAACACCCATTTTCCAGCTCTATTAAGGAAGTATGGCGAGTATAAGGTATTTTTGCAACCTGAACATCTGAGCTTAAGTAAAATATTCTGCCCGACCAGAGCTATGTGAGACAAGCCACATACCTGATCACTCCGTAGGGGTAGCAGGATCCTCCTCACTACTATTCAAGTAATCTACGTATCTGACTGGGAAGCCAGGGGAGGTCAGCTAACTGCAAAAGTTGGGTGGTGATGACAAGTGGAGTGGAGTGTAAACCTCAGCTGAAAAGAGAAAACATGCGAAGCAATGAGCCCGCTGACATAAAGCCTGAAGACCTTCACTGCGACAATAAGCTGAAGGCTCTCAGCTTGCCCTCTGGGAATCTCCGTTCGGGGTGCAGTTCGGGTGAGGTTTAGCCTCGATCTGCAACTGGCCCTTGTCTCGGCTCCCAGGCCTGGCCATTCATTCAGACTCTCAGCAAACACTGGTTGCCAGACCTCGAGCGGAGACCACAGCCGGAAAAACATCGCCACACCTTCCAGTTTACCGGGGGAACCAGCACTGGACAAGCCAACAACCCGGCGGTGAGAGCAACCGAGGAGAATGGCAGGGATTGGACACCCAGTCACGAGAAGCCCTCCGCCCTCCTGGTCCCTCAGGCCACGGCCCGGACGCCGCGTATCGTCGGACCTCCCAGTCCTGCCTCCATGGCGCACCCTTCCCCAAGGCTGGCCCGGTTCTGGACGTCGCCAACCCCTGTTCTGAACTACAGACCTCGCTGCTGCTGCTGAACTCTATGGATGCTCCCTCCTTCCCTCAGGGTTCTCCAATTCCGCGTGCCTTCCTGAGCCTCGCCGGCCACCGTCTGTGGGGCGCGGCGCGCCCGTGACGTCACTGCCGTGCGCCTCCCCAGCGCCATACACTCACATACAAAAAAAATGGCTCTAGCGCGGCCGCCACGGCTCTCGCTGCTCGCGGCTCAGTGGTTTCTGACGCCCCGTCGGAAGCTGACGGCGGCTAGCGGTCCCGACGAGCCCCTGCCCGTGGTGCGCATCCCGCGGGCTCTCCAGCGGCTGCAGGAGCAGCGGAAGGACTCGCGGCGGAGCTCCACGCGGCCGGCGCTGGTGCGCCCCGGCCGGCTGCTGATCTCGGCGCGGCGGCCGGAGTTTAACCAGCCGGCGCGCCTCACGCTGGGTCGTTGGGAGACGGCGCCCCTCGCCTCGCGGGGCTGGAAGCACCGGCGCTCCCGCTCGGATCACTTCTCCATCGAGCGCGCGCAACACGAGACGCCAGCCTTGCGGAACCGCTTCTTGTGCGAGGACAGCTTCGCGGACCTAGGTCTGCTGCCGCGGGTGCTGCGGGCGCTGCAGGAGGTGGCCCCCGAAGTCGTTCGGCCCACCGCGGTGCAGTCGAGCGCCATCCCCCCGATACTGAGAGGCCGCCACATCCTCTGCGCAGCGGAAACAGGCAGTGGCAAGACTCTCAGTTATCTGCTGCCTCTCTTTCAACAGCTCTTGGGCCGACCACGCCTGGACTCCGGCAGTGTCCCTGCTCCCGGAGGTCTGGTCCTGGTGCCTTCGCGAGAATTAGCCCAGCAGGTGCAGGCTGTGGCCCTGCCCCTAGGCAAGTCCTTGGGACTCCAGGTGCAGGAGTTAGAGGGAGGCCGTGGCATGAGCAGGGTCACGAAGCAACTGTCCAGGCAGCCTCCGGCTGATATGCTAGTAGCCACTCCGGGGGCTTTGTGGAAGGCTCTGAAACGTCAACTGATCAACCTAGAGCGGCTGTCCTTCTTGGTATTGGATGAGGCAGATACCCTATTGGATGAAAGTTTCCTGGAACTCGTGGAGTACATCTTGGGGAGGAGCAATATAGCAGAAGGCTCAGATGACTTAAAAGACCCCTTCAATCCCAAAGCTCAGTTGGTGCTGGTAGGGGCTACATTTCCCAAGAGTGCAGGTCAGCTGCTGAGTAAAATCTCTGACTCAGACTCTCTAACCACCATCACCAGCCCCAAGCTCCATTGCATCATGCCTCATGTCAAACAGACGTTTATGAGACTGAAGGGAGCAGAGAAGGTCCCTGAGCTGGTGCAGATCCTCAAGAAGCACGACAAAGCAGATAAGACGGGCTCCTCGGGAACTGTGTTGGTGTTCTGTAACAGCTCCAGCACTGTGAACTGGCTGGGATACATTCTGGATGACCACAAAATCCAGCACCTAAGGCTGCAGGGACAAATGCCGGCCGCCATGAGGACAGGTATCTTCAGGAGCTTCCAGAAGGGCTTCCGAGACATACTTCTCTGCACAGACATAGCCTCACGGGGCCTGGACAGTACCCAGGTGGAGCTGGTTGTCAATTACGATTTCCCCCCCACCCTGCAAGACTACATCCACAGAGCGGGAAGGGTGGGCCGAGTAGGGAGTGAGGTGCCAGGCACCGTCATCAGCTTTGTTACCCACCCCTGGGATGTGAGCCTCGTTCAGAAGATTGAGCTGGCAGCTCGCCGGAAGAGAAGTCTTCCAGGACTAGGGTCCCTACTTGACATGAATGCAGAGTCCTAGCAGGGATCTTTGCCTCTGTGGGCGCAAGTAAGCAAACTTCTCAGCAGGACACGCCCAGCTGCCCAGTCATCTCCCTGAAGGTCCCGGGAGTTACTGGCCAGCGTTGGAAAGTGAGCTACTGGGCATGGCTCACAGTGGTTTTTCACATGAGTCTTGAAAAATACAGGAGAGTTTGGTTCTGCATTGTTTCTTGATTTCTAACAGAAAATGATGTTTTGCCCCGGCCGGCATGGCTCAGCCATGCTCTGCCTTCTTTCCCATCTCCTGGTCACGGAAGATGAGATAGGATTAAACTATTTCACCAAACTGGCAAAATGAGCATATCATATAGCATCTTCTCACTTACCTCCTTGGTTCCAGGCTCTGCAACATTATATAAACTTTGCCTGAAGTGTAATGAGTAGTTAAGCAAATAACACTCCACAAAACAACTTAAAAATGGGTTTAATTTCCAATCAAGAGCAGGTACCTCGGTTGCAGGTTTGCTCCTCCCACTCCTGATCAGGGTATGTGTGGGAGGCAGCCACATTGAGGCAACCATACCAATGTTTACCCTCTTCCCTCCCCTCCCTTTCAGTCTCTTAAAAAAAATATCAATGGGAAAAATATCAGGTGAGAATTAAAAAAAAACAACACACAAAACTGCCCAGTTCAGCTGGTGTGGCTCAATGGTTGAGCATTGAACTATGAATCAGGAGGAGGTCATGGTTCAATTCCCAGTTAAGGCACATGCCTGGGTTGTGGGCTCGATTCCCAGTGGGGTGCATGCAGGAGGCAGCCAGTCAATGATTCTCATTGATGTTTCTATTTCTCCCTCTCTGAAGTCAATAAAATCTTTAAAAAAAAAAGAGAGAGAGAGGGAGAGAAAGAAAAAAACAACTGCCAGGAAGCTTGTTCAAAGTGCAGATGTCTGAGCCCCACTCCAGATCTGCATGCTTTCTGAGAGTTGTCCCAAGAGTTCACTTACAGGTATTTTCAAATTGTTTTGTGGAATCTATAGGTGAGTCTCAAGCCCTCTTAAGCTGATAAATCATTCATCTATGCTATTCTGCCTTCCCCAGCATCCCAACCAGGTCCTGAGTAGATATTGGTACTCTACCAGATCAGAGGGATGCTCCCAGATAAGTAATCTCCCAAGCCTTGGGGAATCTGAGTGATCTCATGCTGCCCCACCTGCCAAGACAAACCTCCTCCAGAACCATCCCCTCCACATTTTACCTCCTACCACTCCCCAAAGGTAATCATCTCTAATTAGTCCTGACTTTGTCCTAACATGCACCATGCTAACAAACTCCTTAAGAGTGAGCAACTTTTGAAATGGTAGCTAGGCAGTCTACCTTCGGGGCACATTCTGTCTGCAACAGCCCAAGCAAGCAAATGTCCCATCTTTGCTTATTAACAGCAACAGAGATCCCCCTCCTCGGGAAGATTATCTCTCATCGCTAAGAAGTTCTTGACTACACTATAGAAAGGTGCCCCAAATATGATTTCTCTCTACGGGCCTGATCATGCTAAGGGGAGGGCTGTCTATTTCCTCTTCTGAGTAACACCAAATTATCTTCTTTCTTTTCTTTTTTTTTAATTTTTAAGTTGATTTTAAGAAAGGAAGGGAGAGGGAGAGAGTGAAAATATCAAGGGCTAAAGAACCTGCAACTGAGGTATGTGCCCTTGAAAGGAAATTGAACCTGCGACCCTTCCATCCATAAGCTGACACTAACCCCTGAGCAAAACTGTCCATGGCCAGGTTGTTTTGATCCCCAGTTGGAGTGCATGCAGGAGGCAATCTATCAATGTTTCTCTCTCACATCGATATTTCTCTCTCACCCTTCCTCTCTCTCTACAATTAATAAAAACATAAACTGTTTTAAAAAGTAAAATAAATAAAATGAGCCCATCATTCCCAGTCTGTGAAGTCATTTGGGACCCTCACTTTGCCTTGGAGTACCTTTCACACCTCTCCCAGTGTCACTCTGAAATGTGATGAGCTTGTCCTCACACTCCTATCAGCTATAAATCTAGAACCCCAACCTGATGCCCTGCCATTGAGCAGAACACCTCTCCACTACGTGTAACTGTAGGTGGGCCCTTCAACCTGTTCATTTTTGAGTCCTCAGCTCTAACAACATGATGGTTTTATGAACTGACATTTGAGGCAGGACAAGGTCATGAAGAACTTGTCTTTGCTTTTACTCTTCCCAACTGAAATGTCTCTCCTCTCCCCAGGTCCACCTTTCATTTATCCTTCAGGCCCGCCACCAGGGGGCCTTCCTTGATTGCTGCATCTGCACACAATCTCTGCCTTTCCAATGGTTGGATACTTATTGATAGGGTCAATGTCTTAGGTTAATCTTGCTTTTCGTGCTAATCTTAGAATGGAGTTTCTCCTTCCTCTGGTCCCTAGGGCTGTGCCAGTCCAGGAATATAGTCCACATGGAGTGGCTACTTGGCTGAGACATGGATGGGGAGGGCCAGGTGTGAGGGCACAAGCAGGGGACACTGGGTAGTGATGTCTCACAGTGTTCCTGGCAGGGTAACTACAGAAACGTGGTGTTCCAGGGAAACTTTTCCCCAGTTCTCTACCAGATACCAGTCTGTTCAGTTGCCTGAGAAAGATGATGTACCGGCTCTTATACCTTCCATGTAACTTATCCTGTCCTCCAGGAGTGCAGCACAGCAGGTAGGCCTGGGCTGGGCATCTGTACGGGAGTTGGTGTACATACAGCCTCACCTGCCCGCCACATGATCATTTGTGCTTGTCCATCACACCTGAGAACCGCCCTAGCTGTACGCAACACCAGTGGCCTGGGGCCCCCTCAGAGACCCCGAGAGCTCCCGCTCTCGGCTGAGGACAAGTGCAATGTCATTCCTGGGCAAGTATTCAGAAAGGTTCTCATCTTTATCAATGTAACCTTCCCCTCTGGCCTACAAGATACTGCCAGTCAGACCCTTTGCTTCTTTACTGGCCAGTCTCTTAGCAAGAGTCAAGTTGCCACCGAAACCTGTTTGGCTCGGTGGATAGGGCGTAGGCCTGTGGACTGAAGGGTCCCAGGTTCGATTCCAGTCAAGGGCATGTACCTTGGTTGCGGGCACATCCCCAGTAGGGGGTGTGCAAGAGGCAGCCGATTGATGATTCTCTCTCATCGATGTTTCTAACTCTCTGTCCTTCTCTCTTCCCCTCTGTAAAAAGTCAATAAAATACATTTTTTTAAGTCAAGTTGCCAACATGGGAGAGGTTCTGAAATGATTTATATTAGACTAGTAGCCCTGCGCACAAATCCATGCTCCAATAGCTCGCTGCTGCCCTCCGGCAGCTCTTTGCCTGCTGCCCCGCCCTCCCGTAGCTCCCTCTGTCCTCTCTACCCCCTCATAGCTTGCTGCCCTGCCCCCTCCTATAGCTCTCCACCAACCCTCTTGTAGCTCGCTGCCCCACCCTCCTGATAGTGATCCGGTCTTTACTCCGTCAGTCGTTATGCCTCACTGCTGAAGGGATAATTAGCATATTCCTCTCTTACTATATAGGACTATATAGGATAGTTTTCCCAAACTTGGAAGGCATTTCCTTAAAGTAGGGGTGAGGAACCTTTTTTAATCTGCCTGGGGCCATTTGGATGTTCTCTTAATAATACAAAATTATCAGCTTACATACTAGCCTGTTATATCTGGTCAAGCATTTCATTAACTCACCCCTAATGCCTTGGCAGGGCCAGACCAAATGATTTCCCAGACCTTACCAATATACAGCCTGAGGGCCAGATGTTCCCACCCCTGGCTTCAGAGGAGACAGTCTATAAGAAATCTTTTCTGTTGCAAGAGAGATGGAAAGGGATCCTGATTGCAATTATTTTCAGGGTCTGTCTGTTCTGGGAAGGGGGGAGAGTTTCTGTTCTGCTGCTGCTCTAGGCCCCACAGAATTGCTTTTGCAGCAACACCCACTCTGTAGGGGACTCAGGATGGGTTAAGGCTGTGTTTGGGATGCCAAGCAGATTAGAAGCTTCAGCAAGAACCTGGGAGAGACCTGAGAGAGGGGGTGTCCTGGCAGCACACGTGACTGATCAGCTCTGGTTTTCTTTCCAGCAGCAATGGCTCCCACCTTCCCTCCTACACCTGGTCACTGCCATGTCCTCTACCAAAGGGGGGGGCGAAACCCGAGTGGGCTGGCACAGGGAGACCTACTGCCTGGTCGGTGGCTGCCGGTCCTTTGGGGACGCCCCTTTGGCCACCCCAGCAAAGGCGGAGGCAGAGAAGCCAGGCCCCAGAGGAGCACGTAAGAGGCATCGACCTCTGGAAGAGTCTGATGAAGACTTCAGTTGCTCCAGCCCCAAAATTTGGCGACTGGAGCTTGGTGGCAAGAGGTGGATGCCCTCCTGGCCAAGTCAGACAGGGATTCCTTGGACTTCTTGACTTCGAGCCTCTGCCTCTCTCACCGGGAGAGGCCTTGAGTTCCTTACATCCATCCATTTGTCCAGATATCCTCTGCTGATCATCCATCCCCTGTGCTGGCCCTTTGCTGAGTGTGCAGTAAGGGGGTTGGGCAAGTCTTCAGTTGCCGATCACACGTGCTGGCATAAGTGCTCAGAAAGGTGAGCTGTGAGGGCACCAGGTGCCAGTAGAATGGAATTAGGGGGAACAAAGCTTGAATCCCTGGGGAGCAGCCTTCATGGGTCAAGCGCCTGTAATTCAGGTCCCTCTAGCCTTCCCCCAGTTGGTGGAACTGCCTCAAGGACAAGGGACAGCATGCAAACTAACCTCAGAACAGGAGCCACTGGAACATCTGGAACCCAGAGGCAGCCCAGTCAGACTACCACTTGCAACTTTGCTCGGGGGTCCTTGTGTGCTGGTCCTCTGTGCTGCCTGAAATCAGGCAGAGCCTGGCTGCCAGAGAACCCCAATCATCCCTCATCCTCTCCGAAAAGCAGCTGTACAGCCTAACTGGTTTGGCTCAGCGGTGGATAGAGTGTCGAACTGCGGACTGAAAGGTCCCAGGTTTGATTCTGGTCAAGGGCATGTACCTTTGTTGAGGGCGCATCCCCGAGTGTGTGTGTGTGTGTGTGTGTGTGTGTGTGTGTGCAGGAGGCAGCTGATTGATGTTTCTCTTTCATCGATGTTTCTAACACTCTATCCTTCTCCCTTCCTCTCTGTAAAAAATCAATTTTATATATATATATATATATATATATATATATATATATATGTATTTATTTATTTATTATTTTTTTTAAGTAGCCATAAAGGTGAAAAGGAAAGTGTGTGTATGGCGGTAGGAGGGAGGGAGTTGCCGTGCAACCTAGTTCAGTATCTGCTTAAAACTGTCATCTTACTTCCCCACTCCGACTTGGGCGGAGCTTCAGAGCCTAACCCCAGGGCTGCACCACAGCTGACTTGGGCGGAGCTGCAGGGACCCTCGGGCGCCGCCACAGGAGGAGGTGTGTAGGTCAGAGCCTCCCCAGGAGTTCAGTTCAGGCTTTGGATCCGATTCCCCTGGACTTGGCAGAGCTGCGAAATAAAGGTTAAACTCGCCCCCCTCAGAGTGCTGGCTGATCCGTTCTCCGGTCCGGTTCATTCTGCCACAACACAGGTACTAGCTGGGGAAGCTGGCAAGGGTTCTAAAGAGAAAGGTGGGGATTAGGGAGAAGGCCCAGTGGACGTGAGATGCCTCCATGGTTATGCACTTCAAGCAAGAGCAACAACGATCACAACCGGAGGACTTTTATACATGCATATGAGTACAACCAATGGACACAAAACTCTGGGGAGGGAGGGGATGTGTGGGAGGGAGGGAGGGGGGCAAAAAAAATCAATAAAATATATTTTAAAAAAATAAAAAAATAAAAGGGTTCACTAGGGAAAAAAAAAAAAAAAAAAAAACAACGATCACAGCCTTTTGAGGAAGGAAAAGGTGCAAACTGTTCAGAGAGGGTAGCGATTGGAGGATGTAAGTCTGTGGCTTCCCGGCTCTTTCTGGCTGAAGAGACTGTTATTTCTTGGAAACTTAACTGTGTTAGTCACCATGGGAGCACAACCAGAGCAATGCCAGAAAGAAACGGGGACAGCCTGAGTCTCTGGGTCAAGGAGCCCTGTACTTGGAAGACCAGCTGCTCACTCACATACTCCTTTCTGGTGGCAAGATTTTCTGTTCTAGCCCTGCCTCAACAAACCCACAGAGGCCCCGTGGCACCTGGCAGCCTGGCTGGTGTGGCCACGATTTAGAGGGTGAGTGGATTTTGCTATTTGCTGAGGTTAGAGAGGTCAGTGGGAAAAGACTGCCCAGGTCTTGAGAGTCAAGTAAAGGAATTTGGTATATCCTAAGAGCAATGAGAAACCACAGAAGGACTTTAGGCAGGAGGACGTTAGATTTTTTTTTCTTTTTTTTTTCTTTTTTATCCTCATCCAAGGATATTTTTTTCATTGATTTTTAGAGAGAGTGGAAGAAAGAGAAACATCAATGTGAGAGATGCGCATGGATTGGATGCCTCCTGAAGGAGCCCCAACCAGGGCCTGGGCCAGGGAGGAGCCTGCAACTAAGGTACATGCCCTTGACCTGGAGCCTTCGGTGAGGGTAAGGGAAGGACAGGAAAGCCTGTTGGCTTGCATGTGCTTGCCACTTGGGTGTGAATGCTCACATGCCCTTGACTGTAGGAGGGTCTAGGTGTATCTGTGTATAGCTGGGTGTATGGTACCTCAAGGCCATGGCCAGCAGAGCCAGCTTATCTAAGGACTGAAGAACGTTACTTAAGTTTGCTGCCTAGCTAAGCTACAGCGATGGTGCCTTCCTCCCTCTGGCTCAACACAGCCTGTCTCTGTGAGACTGGAGTTTCCCCCATTCCTGGAATGTTAGACATTTGGTTCCTGAAGAAAAACTCAAAATCCTGAAAAGCTAAATGCTCCCTTCTCATTCTTCTACCAGCAGCTGTTATTCATTTGTCTGGACCTCCTGTCCTTCGTTTTCCCACTTTTAAAAAATATATTTTAATTGATTTTTTTACAGAGAAGAAGAGAGATAGTTAGAAACATCGATGAGTGAGAATCATTGATCAGCTGCCTCTTGCACACCCCTTACTGGAGATGTGCCCGAAACCAAGGTACATGCCCTTGGCCAGAATCGAGCCCGGGACCTTTCAGTCCGCAAGCCAACGTTCTATCCACTGAGCCAAACTGGTTTCGGCCCCAGACTTTTTTATAGCCCTGTTTCCTGGTGGGGCTATCGAGAGTGGAACAGACATGCTGTTATCTACCAAACTCATGTTTGTGGCCTGGAAAACAGCATGTCCAAGAGTTCCCCCCCACGCAGCTGCAAGAGTATGACGTGTGCGGTGTGGGGTTGCTGACCAGCCTTGGGGAGTAGAGGAAAAGAAGGGAGCCGGGTTTGAGTTTGGGTGCACAAGTCACCTAGGGCAGAGCCCTGGGAACTCTCATTCAGAAGCGGGGCTGCCTAGAGACCCCCTCAAGCTAGACCCACCCGCAGTTCAGCACCTTTGGGTGGCCCTTCCTCCTGGCCAACAGGCACTGGGCAATATCAAGTGCATAATTCCTCAAATATAGCCAAGCTAGGAGCCCTTCCCCTCATGGCTAGCCCAGGACCTCAAGTCCCCGTGGAAGCGTTTTGCTCACTTTATTTGGGGGAGGTTTCTAGGGTCTCCAGGCCTCAGACCGGTCCCTGCTCCGGTCACTCCCATCACCTGGGAAAGGTTACAAAGATGGAGCAACTCCAGGGAGTGCCAAAGTTCAGAATACAAACTTGAGAGGTTGTGGAAGGAAAGAGTTTGGACAAGGACCCAGAATCCTCTCAACTTCTGTGATAAGGCATATCCCCTGTGTACGTGTGCACAAGGGTGTGAGTACGTGGGTGGGGGTTCTTGGAGGAGACAGCTAGGATGAGGGCCTGAGGCTGGAATGGGGTGGGGCCTGCCCAGCGAGTACGGGAACTTGGGAACTTAGCCCGGAGCAGCCACCACATGAGGCGGTTGTAGGCACAAAAAAAACAAGCTTTTCCTTAGGACCCATCCTTCTGAGCTCAAGAGGCGCAGGGCTTCCACACTGAGGTAGGGGGGCTCCTGGCCAGCAGGCCACCAGCAGGTCTGGGAGGAACGGTGCTGGGACTGGGGCTCTGCTGCCCTGGAAATGACTCATTTCCTTCCCTTCAAGTAGCGTACTCTCTGTGCTTCTGCTGCCGAGTAAACGCTCCCTGACCCTCTCCAGGTGGTTGCCCAGTTCCCGCCCAAAGTCCCTCCATTCGCGGTGGGGAGGTGTAGCATATCTGAGGGGAGAGTGCTTTCCTGGGGCTGACTGGGGAAGAGGGGAGACAGGGATCTCCTGACAGTTCCCAGTTCCTGGCTGGACTCCCTGGGGGTAGACACGCAGGCTGGGAGGAAGGGAAGGGAAAGAGAAGGGCAGGGGCAGGGGGCCCCTACCTGAATCCAGTGTTCATAAAGTTAACCCCTCATGTCCAGAGACTATCTCCTCCCTCACACAGGAAAACCGGTTCGCCGAACACTGTGACCATAAAGTGGGCCTAGGGGCGTCCAGAACAGATGGCAGGCAGGCAGGTGGGATATTATATGGTTGGGAGAGGGCACAGGGCCGAGGGCCACTCTCTGGCAGAAGCACTCCACGCTCTCGCTCGCTCTCTCTCTTAAAAAAATATATTTTATTTATAGCCGAAACCGGTTTGGCTCATTGGATAGAGCATCGGCCTGAGGACTGAAAGGTCCCAGGTTCGATTCTGGTCAAGGGCATGTACCTAGGTTGCGGGCACATCCCCAGTAGGGGGTATGCAAGAGGCAGCTGAACGATGATTCTCTCTCATTGATGTTTTTATTGATTTTTTTACAGAGAGGAAGGGAGAGGGATAGAGAGCTAGAAACATCAATGAGAGAGAAACATCCATCAGCTGTCTCCTGCACACCCTTACTGGGGATGTGCCCGCAACCAAGGTACATGCCCTTGACCGGAATCGAACCTGGAACCCTTGAGTCCACAGGCCGACGCTCTATCCACTGAGCCAAACCGGTTAGAGCAGGCCCTCTCTCTTGAGAGCCAGTTTCGGGAAGGAAACCTAGAGAGCCCCCCTCCCGCCCCCCGCAGAGCACTGGGAGGGCACGCAGGGGCGGAACGGGTGGGGGGTGGGGGCCTGGAGAGGGGAAGCAGTGCCGCCCCCTGGCGGTGGCGCGCCTGCAACGCAGCTCCCTGCCCACTGGTCGCAGGTCCGGTGACTCCCCACCCCCCCTCTCGCGAGGCCGCGCTGCTGAGCCGCTGGAGCCGACGGTTGGGACCCCATCGTCGCCCTCGGCCCTTCTCCTGCCTCTCAGGTTCTCGAGACCAGACCCTGCCCGCCTGCCGGGAAGCATGCGGCCCGCGGGCCTCGAGTGTCCCCACCTGCTCCGCCGGCGGCCCCTGCGGCCTCTGCTGCGGCTGCTGCTCCTGCTGCTGCTGCTGCCGCAGCCGGTGACCCGCGCCCAGGCCGGGCCGGGCGCTCCCAGTGCCCCCGGCACCTCCCCCGCGCCCAGCACCCTCAGTGCCAAGACTGGGCCAGGATCCCCCAGCCACCCGACTGCGCCCAGCACCCCTAGTACCGCCACCTCGCCCGGAACCCCCAGCACCCTGCACCTGCGGAAGCAAGCTCAGGCCCTGATGCGGGAGTTCCCACTCGTGGATGGGTGCGTAGGTGCGGTGGGCGCTGAGCTCACTCACCCCTGGGCTGGGGAGGAGGTCCCGTCCCGTGGATGCCCTTTTCCTCCTCTTATC